CTCCGGCGGCCGGGTCGCCGGCGCCGGCGCCGGGCATGCCTCCACTGGAGTTCCGCGCGGTCAGAGGTGCCGACTCCGGCGCGAGGCGTCCCCGGTGCAGCTGTGGTGAATGCTGATTGATTCACCAGTGTAAAACGTTTGAAAAGGGAATGTCAAAGCTCTTGTTAGAGCTGGTTTGGTCTATATCTTGTCACGGGTCATTGTTTGAAGGGAGTGGTTGTTATTCTGCAACGAGTGGTGAGTGAAAGAGGCGATCTTCACTCAATTTAAAACACCTTTTTCTCACAAATAACTTGTACACATAACATAAAATGGAATACAAAGCGCATCTCCTATCAAGCTATGTTCCTGCGGGCCGTTCATGGTAAGGAGTTGCGATGATTCATGAGAATACGGCAACGTCGGCGAAGGTGTTCTTCGATATTAATAAATTCGGCAACTATGTCAGATTTCGTTCACAGATGTAAAATATAAGGACCTTGTCAAAGCAGTGACGGTTCGGAGAACATCGGAGCGCAACATCCCTTCCGATGCGGAAAAGTGCCAGATTGGGCTTCATACGCCTGGTAATGGTGACGCGTCTGCCCCAGCCTCGTGCGTTAGTATCGCGATAAGGCCGCTGAATGACGTAGACGCGGGAACCTCGGACCCATGATAACTTGACCGATATGATGGCGACCGCACCGCCCTCCACCGCCGCCGCCGTCCGGACTGATCGCGGTGGGCATGGCCATGAGCTCGTGCATAACTTGGCGCCGGCCGACGCGCGGCTTCTGCTTTCTTCTCGTTTTGCATTTGGTCTGTGTGTAGGTGCTCGATAGCTTCACAGCTCTGATTATTCATCCGAGCTAATAGCATTATATCGCTTTTGTTTAATTGCGTTCAGTCCTGTGGCATGAATTTTGATCCTGCTTGACCAAAACTGCTGTGTTTCGAAAAGTGCATGCAGCGCATTGATGACGCTGCGTTTTGAAGCATCTGCTTTAAGTAACGATCGTTCTCTCTTTATTTTCAGGGGGATGTCGTGGAGAAAACCAGCGAAGGTAACGTGGCTTAATGCGTCAAGCAGTCAAAGGCATCACAACATTTCCTTTCGATCGCTAGCTACCATTGGCCCAAGACATATTCCATATATATATATATATATATATATATATATATATATATATATATATTACAATACATGTGCAGCTGCACACTTCCGTTAACAGTTGCACGTCTGTGCCTTCCCCCGAGTATGCGTGGCCTGAGGCCAGACCATCCGACCTAGCCATGGCTTATATCGCCCAACCATAGGTCGTTAGACTTTTTCAGCTCTCAGACCTAGCTATGCCGATATCACCTAATCCAGCTCATGAAAACTGACATGATCCCAGGGTGCCATGCCTGGTCACCATGCCACGCCCATCTGCCCAATCTTGTATCTCCTCGACCTGACAGGACTATCTGCCTGTCAGACAAGTCTGCGGTTTAGAGGCGCAGCTAAGGTGTTGGCGGGACCGTTACCCTTAGTTCCGTATGTTTCCTTTAGAACCGTAGATGGCTCCTGACGGAAAGAAAGAAAAGCGATATGTTGAGTTCTCGTGAAATTCCGGTCTTCTCTCTTTAGAGAAAATCATGGCTGCTCTCTCACTCTCTCCCTCTCTTTCTCTCCCTCTCTCTCTCCCTCTCTCTCTCTCTCTCTTTCTCTCTTTCTCTCTCTCTCTCTTTCCCTCTCTCTCTCTCTCTCTCTTTCTCTCTTTCTCTCTCTCTTTCTCTCTTTCTCTCTCTCTTTCTCTTTCTCTCCCTCTCTCTCTCTCCTTTCTCTCTCTCTCCCTCTCTCTCTCTCTCTCTCGCTCTTTCTCTCTCTTGTCTGACCTGTTTTCTTACCTAATCTCACCGGACCCGGGCCGGCAGATGAGTGGGTCACGCGTCGAAGGGTGGAGGTCACCACTACCAAGAACATCGAGACGCGCGTGCAGCGCCAGCTGCTGCTGGAGGACGGCAAGATCGTGGAGGACTCGGGGCCCATCATCAGCACCGACACTACCGTCGACACCACCGAGAAGAAGGACGAGAACACAGAGGTAGGTGCCCGCTGTGCGGGTCGGACCGTATACGCTGTGGGCGTGTCCTGGGACGGGTGTGTGGGACACGTGACGGGAGCATGTCAGCAAGGTGCGGGATCACGTAAACACAGGGCCTCTTGGCAGGTGTGCAGCTTACCATACAGTCGGGATACTGATTTAAAGAGTAACATGTCGATGCCAAATTTGTTTATTTAACTGTTGCCTATAAAAATAAAACCAGGAGTGTCTCTCCCACTATCCCAGCGACGCACAGAACCTAACTTAGATGTATGAGAACATAAAGATCAAGCCGCGTCACTCCTTGTGAACAGTAAGAAATACACGTAAAATGCGTACAAACCTTGGCAAGAGCAGTGCCAGGCATGCACACATAACACGAAAGAAGGCCGAAAGAAGTCATTGCTGAAGTCAGCGCTGCCTGGTCACTAAACCATCCGCTCGGATTCGTCATGTGGGTTCACAGGGCGCACATTCGCGGGTCAAAGGCGCGGGCTCATCTGGCCGGGTTCTTGTTGGCTTCTTGCTTTTTTTGGCTACCTTCGATGAGTCCAAACAGCTCAGTAAAGTTTGTTAGTAGATAGATTTCCAGCAGCCATCGCGGTTAAGGGGTAAAATTGCTCCTAATTAAGGCAAATTCAATCTGATAAGTGATGTGTATTATATATGACTTCGGATGGGGATTACTGGTCCTGTACAACATTTGATTTGCATTCAATTTCAGTATAAGTAGCTTTGGATTGATTATAAGGTAACAGCACTCATTCAACGCATCATATACTTCTGATATTAAGACTTTTTATCTTCAGGGAGGTGAGCCGTGTGAAAGGAGTGCGAAGCTTGTTAAAACCTAAATTAATAATATGTTGCTTGCAATTGTGGTTCCAACAGGTCCATAGCACAGCACACAGAACACTGTTTCGTCAAGATGAACAAAGCAGAGAGGAGTTTTACATAACTAAGCTGCTAACATTACGGCTGGCATCATTTTTAAATTTTGGACTGGCAGGGCCCAAAAATTTGGCCCTGAGATAGTTATCGCAAGGCAGTCTTGCACCTTCAATGTAATCACGGTTTCCGTGAGAGTTTACACCCATACTAGCCAACAACGATGTCTTTGTGGAAGATAACGCCGTTATAAAAACAAAGGAGCCCATTTTTCCAGGTACTTTCTTATTTGCCTACGAGACCAACTATTGAACAAAGCCTTGAAGATAATGTGGGCTTTCAAACTTAAATTGGTTTGGGCTAGCAGGGCCAGGATTTCCACAGTTGGTGAGGATTTGATAGAGATGTTGCTAATGGTCAAGACAAGCAGCCTGTCAGTTGCTGATTTTGAAAACGCTGGAAACTGCTTTTCTCAACATTCAGTTTCCGTTTGTTTTTGTTTTTTCCAACCATTATCATACATGCGATGCTGTATTGTGGCTAATAGTCCATATAATCCAGCACGAAACGACTTAATAGTAGATGCGGTGACTATTGCAATGGTTCTTCAAGGCTTTCAACATCGTATAGTCTTCAGAACTCTTTAATGTACGATTTAAATGTTTATGCATGCTCATTTATAGCCTATCAGACCGAAAATCTCCCGTAACATTTGTGACGGTGACTGTGAAGTTTCATCGAGGCGCGAAGGTTTCAAAGCAAATTTCTCTTGCCAGGAATGCTGCTGGATTTTGCATCATTACTGCGTGTTTGTGAATGACAAGAATATGGAATACCGTGGAATTTGATCCGTATGAAAGAATTGAACGGGAACCCGTAAGAAAGTTTGAAAAAGTTGAAACGGTTAATGTGCAGAACCCTTTTAGGCTAACCGGTAAGAACAACGTGGAGCACCACACGCAACGCAGGCTCCTCCATTCTGGCAATAATTCGCCTAGTTATCTAGTTTCGTATATCTCACGTATTATACACGATTCCTTGCTTCTAGATCTCACAATAATACATCAGTATGAGGATCACAAGCATGGATGAGACCTGTTTTTACGTCATGTGCCATTATCGTTGCGTGTGGAAACGCGCTTCCTTTCGTGGAATTCGTTGCACAATACACTGATGGTCAATCATTTTATATTCATCTTGCAGGAACCAGCAGCATAGACAGTTCACAGGAACTCTCATTGTTAAAAACGCTTCGGCTTCTGGCGCCGTTTCGCGCCTATTAAAATGCAGGCTAGTCAAAAAGCCGCAAGAATGATCATTCAGGCAGCGATAAAAGTCAAGCAACTGCACAAATATCCACGTTTCTTGCGCATTGCAAAGTGCTCAAGAGAGAGTCTGTGTGGCTGGAAAAACAATGGCACTGTGTTTCAAACACATTTCAGATCAATATATGATCCTTATGCGTCACGGCTGCCAGATAATGGTTCCTGCGTAGTGGGTTTGCTGATTGCTTTGACCTGCCCAGCTGACTCCTTGTCCACGAGAGAGTGCGGCTGCGTGTGCTCTGTTTGTGGCGCGTCGCCATCTTCCTCAAAGCCGGCGTTGACCTTGCCGTTCTGACCCGGCACGGCCGCCTCTGTCCCGGGCTCGGTACCCGTGTGCTGAGGAGGAGCGGGGGATGCCGCCCTGGGCGGCTGGGGGAAGATGATCTTCTCCAACGCTATCATTGGCGACTCGAACGCCAGGGAGAAAATGGCAGCGACAGTGAAGATCACCGGCAGTGAGCCAAGAAACACGTAGACTAAGAGCGTTTGGTCCAAGTACATAGCTGTCTTGTTTGTCAACCAGTAATAAAATTGAACATCGATAGACACGAGGTAGGAAGTGTAGGTCAGCCGGCTCAGTGGAATGAAGGCTTTCCATGAGAGAAGGGTGTTGACGATTCCGCCGTACCCAGTGACGCAGGCAAACACCACCCAGGCCAGGCAGACGCTCCAGGCGGTGCGGTTCAGCATGCCATACACTATGCTGGTGGTTTTGGATGGGTCCGCATGTCCAGCATCAAATCTGTTGTAGTCGAACATGCCGTACACAATGAGGCAGCCGGTGAGGGAAGCCGTGATCCAGCCGATGGCGACTACAGGCGCTGGAAGGCGGATCTTGCGGCCGCGAATCTTATGCAGAATCCACCCCATGTACAGCCCCACCAAGTAAGGTCCAGCCCTTGTCCACGGCTTCATGTAGCGCAGGTTAAAGTCGTCCCCTCCAGGTAGAGGGCCATTTGGCCCTATCTTGTGAATTGCTGTAACCATGGCGTTGATACCGGTGAAGAAACAGACGAGGAAGATGAGCCACAGCTGGCCTATAAACAGGCCAGTGGTACAGCGGGAGCAAGACCAGCGGAGAGAAAATGAACATCTGCATGTCGTTGGCCAGGTACCAGGTCTGCCCCAAGCACTGGACGTTCGTATCTTTCAGATTGTTAATATACAACAGATTCCACCACCAGTAGTCTTGGCAGTTCTTCGCATTTCCCAGGCCTGCATATCCCCACATCGGTCCTGAACCCAGATAGACGTATAAAGTGGCTACGAATCCGATGATGATCATCATGACCGGCGTCAGACGGATGTAGCGGTGTACATAGAACATGATGATGTTGAATCTGCCGTGGGCTCTTTCAATGCTGCGCGAGGCAATGTATGCCACCAACAGCCCACTCAGGAAAAAGAAGGAATCAACTGACACCGTTGCGTTTGCGATTGCTGCGAAAGCAAGGTCGTTATAATAGGAATACACCTTGAGGATGTTCTGGTGCTTAAAAAAAAGAAGAAATACATAATTGTGTCCGAGGATGACCCAGGTGTTGGAGAGAAAACGTATTCCATGTAAACAGCTTAGCGTGTCCTTGGTGGAGGTGGTGTCTAAAAGCTTGCGTCCGTTGGTGTAGACGGAGAACGCGAGGAAAACGCGCCGAATCGTGGGAGGTAGAATCCACCGAACTGCCGCATCGATGGCTGACCAGGCAGAGTCTGGTCCGTCCTCGGCTTGCACAGCGATGAGGTCCACTACCGTACCGATCACCATGCACAGTCCGGTCAGGGACAGAATGACGATCATGACGATGGCGGCGGTCGTGAGTTCCGTCTTGTCCTCCCTGGTGTAACACAGGTAATCGGGAATATATGCACTAACTTTCTGCCGCCGTAGCGCGATGTCAAGTCCCAGGGTGAGCTCCTCGGCAGTGCAGGTGGACGGTATGCACACACCCACAGTGGCTTCCGTTCCGTCCGGCAGTGCGGGCAGGATCGGAGCCACATCCAGGTTGGCTACCGGAGCTGTTTGCCGCAGCTGGTGGCTGTGGCTGGCCGACTCGTCCGACTTGAAGAGAGACGCCACACAGTACTTCCCGATGAAGCTCTTGTCGTTGAAGAACGCTGTGGTGTTGAGACATTCGTCCCAGTTGCCCATCGGGTTTACATTGCCCTCCAGAATGCCATCAGGCATCTTGCCTGTAGAGTCAAACATCCGCATGGCCCATCGTTCTTTGGTGATGTGGTTCAGGTACGTTATACTGTCCTCCAGGCAAGCCGCGCTGGCATCGGGGTTGGCGATCGGCGTGATGTACGGACCGACTGCCTCCGCGATCGCCTGGTCCTGGAGGTCGGGACCCAGCCCCAGGTCAGGGTGGGACGGCTCATGAATGTCGACATCCGTCTCCAGCTCCAGTCGAACAGGCAGATCTGAAAATGAGAGGGTTCCCGCTTAGGGTACCAATGTCTTCACGATAGCGAAATGAGAGCAGAGCGATGGTTGTCTGATTAGAATAAAATAACTTCGAAGTTGCTTATACATGATACGAATACAATGGAGTGGTACATCAGGGTATTGCCTTTGAACTATCTTCACCATTGCAGGTTGCAGGGCATATTGCAGGTTATATTTGTGTCCGATCGCTGGAGCTATTTGCAGTCATAGATATTTCTTTTTCAGGGATGACAGCGGCACACCCTTGTCGTAGAAAGATGACAGTGAACTTTAAACCTAAGTCATGCGTGTTTATGCCTGTTATCAATATATATGTTTTACTGAGTAGGTACTCGGTCCTTTTGAAGCATTTTGATCCGTCCTTCTAGCGCTGGCTTGTTCCACTCACCTCCGCTGTGTTTGCCAGTCCGCTGCGGATTGGACTGGCCGTGCGCTGCAGATGTTTGGTGGTCAAACTCCCGTCGGGCGTACAGCAGTCTCGACCATAGGTCCACCAGGGGCCAGCCGTTTCCGTGCAGGTGCACGAGGTCCCCGTAGTCGGTGCCGCTGGTCCGAGCCACACAGAGAGCCGCCACCAGCACCAGACGCAGGCCCACCATGCTGGCTCCTCAGACACAGCGCGGTGCTCGTCTGACAGGAGGGCAGAGCCAATCGGGCCAGCTTGCTCAGCTGGTGCAACCTGTTGTCTTATCGGACGCCTATCGTCCTAAAATCAGTTGTGATATGCTGTGAGTAGGCTGCCTTGATAGAAAGGCAATAATAAAAGGTCCGCAACTCGTCAGCACTAATCCTCAAAGAGGGCAGAATCCGTCCAAACATGACCTTAGAGGCACGCCATTATCAACCTGTGTCAGTTTGCAACTTTTGGAACCAATCTCAAGATGATCGTAAAGAACTTTTATCTAAGCACAACGTCTTAGAAGACCTTGGCGTATCGCTTTTCCCGAGCATCAAGTTCCGGTGGACCAAACGTCCAGGTTTCATTCGTACAGATAACTGACCGACTAGAAGGTGCATTCCATTCACAGGTGTTTGGCCTGCAACAACCAACACCGTGTGATTCGTGGGCGAGTCCTAGGACGAGTGTGTGGGACACATGGCGGAGGGGGGGCAGGCAAGGTTCGGTGTTACATATCTAGAGGACCACCTGGCTGGCGTCGAATTTACCAGACAGGCGGGATGCTGATGTAGGTGAGCAAGAGATCCCAATACTATGGCTAAAATCCAAATACAAATCCAAAGATCGAAATACTAGACTATAGATATGAATACCGAAAACAATTATAGATCTATATATTTTTAGGAAATTTTTATATATGTGGTGTGTGTGTATGCGTGTGTGGGTGTGGGTGTTGGTGTGGGTGTGGGTGTGGGCGTGGGTATGGGTGTGTATGTGGGTGTGGTTGTGGGTGTGTGTGTTGGGGGTGTGTGGGGGTGTGGGTGTGTACATGTATGAAAGCTTTGGCTGAAAGTGCATGACAAATTGCACTGCGTATGATGCAGCACGGGACACTTACGCAGAAGGCAACATGACTTCTGGAATTAGCGTTCAGGGTCCGCCGCAGCCCTTCGTCGTGTCGAGTTGAGGTATAGCCCGAGAACGTTGTAGACCGCTAGAGGCTCCAAAGAATCGGGTGAAGGGTGCTTTATCTACTTTTAAAGCACAACACATTTGCCTATCTAGGCAAGTTTACTGCCAAAAAAAACACCTTTGATTTGCGGTGTCATTTGCAAATCATCACATGCGTCTTTGTTCATGCTGCTACGCTGTTTCACGCGCTTGGCGCGTTTCTGCGCATGTCCTATAAGCCATCAAAGTGTTTCAGCTGTGTGGAAACAATGACCACTTAAGACCACAACGTTCATATATAATGCATCACTGACGATAGCATCTTTTAGGCTCGGCCAATACCAAACTGACGACTAATTTAGGAAGTTCTGATAGTTTTCCACTTTATCCATAACCTGAGCAGCTTATGGTATTTCTATGTTTAACACATTTGCTGTGTTTCCTCAATCCTGTATTCAAATGCAGAGAGCAACTGCATCTTAGCAATAATCTATGAATTCGTTTTCGCGTTCCGTCCAGTTGTCCTTCCTTGCAGAACCCGGCACTCACATATCATGCATGCCTCAAACAATCCGGAGTCATGGTTCATGATTTGTATATTGATCAAGACAGAACAGGCAGCATAAGCAATTTATACAGAGTCTATCACCAACCACAAGCAAAATTATGAAGATAACAGAAGGATGTCGAGGAAAGGTAGCAACGTTACAGGTGTTCTTTTGATGCTCGATTGACATCCTGCATTACTGAATGCAATTTCGTGACGATAACACTGTGGATCAATATATGAGCATTATACGGAGGGGCTACCCGGCGTTGGTGGTTGTGAGGTGTGTTTGCTGATTGCTTCGACCTGCCCCGTCGGTCTCTCATCCACGAGAGAGTGCGGCCGCGTGTGCCCTGTTTGTGCCGCGACGACATCTTCCTCAAAGCCGGCGTTGGTCTTGCCGTCTCGACCGGGCACGGCCGCCTCTGCCCCGGGCTCGGTACCCGTGTGCTGAGGAGGGGCGGGGGATGCCGCACTGGGCGGCTGGGGGAAGATGATCTTCTCCAACGCTATCATTGGCGACTCGAACGCCAGGGAGAAAATGGCAGCGACAGTGAAGATCACCGGCAGTGAGCCAAGAAACACGTAGACTAAGAGCGTTTGGTCCAAGTACATAGCTGACTTGTTTGTCAACCAGTAGTAAAATTGAATGTCGATGGATACGAGGTAGGATGTGTAGGTCAGCCGGCTCAGTGGAATGAAGGCTTTCCATGAGAGAAGGGTGTTGACGATTCCGCCGTACCCAGTGACGCAGGCAAACACCACCCAGGCCAGGCAGACGCTCCAGGCGGTGCGGTTCAGCATGCCGTATACTATGCTGGTGGTTTTGGATGGGTCCGCATGTCCAGCATCAAATCTGTTGTAGTCGAACATGCCGTACACAATGAGGCAGCCGGTGAGGGAAGCCGTGATCCAGCCGATGGCGACTACAGGCGCTGGAAGGCGGATCTTGCGGCCGCGAATCTTATGCAGAATCCACCCCATGTACAGCCCCACCAAGTAAGGTCCAGCCCTTGTCCACGGCTTCATGTAGCGCAGGTTAAAGTCGTCCCCTCCAGGTAGAGGTCCATTTGGCCCTATCTTGTGGATTGCTGTAATCATGGCGTTGATACCGGTGAAGAAACAGACGAGGAAGATGAGCCACAGCTGACCTACAACAGGCCAGTGGTACAGCGGGAGCAAGACCAGCGGAGAGAAAATGAACATCTGCATGTCGTTGGCCAGGTACCAGGTCTGCCCCAAGCACAAAGCGTTTGTATCTTCCAGGTTGTTAATATACAGCAGATTCTGCCACCAGTTGTCTTGACAGGTCTTTGGAGTTCCGAGATTCGTTGCTCCCCATAAAGGTCCTGAGCCCAGATAGACGTATAAAGTGGATATGAATCCGATGATGATCATCATGACCGGTGTCAGACGGATGTAGCGGTGTACATAGAACATGATGATGTTGAATCTGCCGTGGGCTCTTTCAATGCCGCGCGAAGCGATGTATGCCACTAGCAGGCCACTCAGGAAAAAGAAGGAATCAACTGACACCGTTGCGTTAGCGATTGCTGCGAAAGCAAGGTCGTTATAATAGGAATACACCTTGAGGATGTTCTGATTCTTAAAGTAAGGAACAAATGCATAATTGTGACCGAGGATGACCCAGGTGTTGGAGAGAAAACGTATTCCATGCAAACAGTTTAAGGTGTCTTTGGTGGAGGAGGTGTCTAAAAGCTTGCGTCCGTTGGTGTAGACGGAGAACGCGAGGAAAACGCGCCGAATCGTGGGAGTTAGAATCCACCGAACTGCCGCATCGATGGCTGACCAGGCAGAGTCTGGTCTGTCCTCGGCTTGCACAGCGATGAGGTCCACTACCGTACCGATCACCATGTACAGTCCGGTCAGGGACAGAATGACAATCATGACGATGGCGGCGGTCGTGAGTTCCGTCTTGTCCTCCCTGGTGTAACACAGGTAATCGGGAATATATGCACTAACTTTCTGCTGCCGTAGCGCGATGTCAAGTCCCAGGGTGAGTTCCTCGGCAGTGCAGGTGGACGGTATGCACACACCTACAGTGGCAACCGTTCCGTCCGGAAGTGCGGGCAGGATAGGGGCCACATCCAGGTTAGCTACCGGTGCTGTTTGCCGCAGCAGGTGGCTGCGGCTGGCCGACTCGCCCGACTTGGAGAGAGACGCCACACAGTACTTCCCGATGAAGCTCGTGTCGTTGAAGAACGCTGTGGTGTTGAGACATTCGTCCCAGTTGCCCATCGGGTTTACATTGCCCTCCAGAATGCCATCAGGCATCTTGCCTGTAGAGTCAAACATCTGCATGGCCCATCGTTCTTTGGTAATGTGGTTCAGGTACGTTATACTGTCCTCCAGGCAAGCCGCGCTGGCATCGGGGTTGGCGATCGGCGTGATGTACGGACCGACTGCCTTCGCGATCGCCTGGTCCTGGAGGTCGGGACCCAGCCCCAGGTCAGGGTGGGTCGGCTCATGAATGTCGACATCCGTCTCCAGCTCCAGTCGAACAGGCAGATCTGAAAATGAGAGGGTTCCCGCTTAGGGTACCAATGTCTTCACGATAGCGAAATGAGAGCAGAGCGATGGCTGTCTGATTAGAATAAAATAACTTCGAAGCTGCTCACACACGATACGAATACAATGGAGTGGTACATCAGGGTATTGCCTATGAATTATCTTCACCATTGCAGGTTGCAGGGCATATTGCAGGTTATATTTGTGTCCGATCGCTGGAGTTATTTGCAGTCATAGATATTTCTTTTTCAGGGATGACAGCGGCACACCCTTTTCGCAGAAAGATGACAGTGAACTTTAATCTTAAATCATGGGTGCTTATGCCTGTTATCAATATGTATGTTTTACTGAGTAGGTACTCGGTCCTTTTGAAGCATTTTGATCCGTCCTTCTAGCGCTGGCTTGTTCCACTCACCTCCGCTGTGTTTGCCAGTCCGCTGCGGATTGGACTGGCCGTGCGCTGCAGGTGACTGGTGGTGAAACTCCCGTCGGGCGTACAGCAGTCTCGACCACAGGTCCACCAGGGGCCAGCCGTTTCCGTGCAGGTGCACGAGGTCCCCGTAGTCGGTGCCGCTGGTCCGAGCCACACAGAGAGCCGCCACCAGCACCAGACGCAGGCCCACCATGCTGGCTCCTCAGACACAGCGCGGTGCTCGTCTGACGGGCGGGCAGAGCCCATCGGGCCAGCTTGCTCAGCTGGTGCAACCTGTTGTCTTATCGGACGCCTATCGTCCTGAAATCAGCTGTGATATGCTTTGAGTGGGCTGCCTTGATAGAAAGGCAATAATGAAAGGTCCGCAACTCGCCAGCACCAATCCTCGAAATGGGCAGAATCCGTCCAAACATGACCTTAGAGGCACGCCATTATTAACCTGTGTCAGTTTGCAACTTTTGGAACCAATCTCCAGATGATTGTAACGAACTTGTATCTAGGCACAACGTCTTAGAAGACCTTGGCGTGTCGCTTTTCCCGAGCATCAAGTTCCGGTGGACCAAACGTCCAGGTTTCATTCGTACAGAAAACTGACCGACTTAAACGTGCATTCCGTTCACAGGTGTTTGGCGTGCAAAAAACCAACACCGTGTGATTCGTGGGCGAGTCCTATGACGGGTGTGTGGGACACATGGCGGAGGGGGGCAGGCAAGGTTCGGTGTTACATATCTAGAGGACCACCTGGCTGGCGTCGAATTTACCAGACAGGCGGGATGCTGATGTAGGTGAGCAAGAGATCCCAATACTATGGCTAAAATCCAAATGTAAATCCAAAGATCGAAACACTAAACTATAGATATGAATACTGAAAAAATTAGAGACATAAATATTTTTTAGGAAATTTTATACATATCTGGTGTGTGTGTGTGTGTGTGTGTGTGTGTGTGTGTGTGTGTGTGTGTGTGTGTGTGTGTGTGTGTGTGTGTGTGTGTGTGTGTGTGTGTGTGTGTGTGTGTGTGTGTTCGTGTGCATGTATGAAAGCTTTGGCTGAAAGTGTATGACAAATTGCGTTGCGTATGATGCAGCACGGGACACTTACGCAGAAGGCAACATGACTTCTGGAATTAGCGTTCAGGGTCCGCCGCAGCCCTTCGTCGTGTCGAGTTGAGGTATAGCCCGAGAACGTTGTAGACCGCTAGAGGCTCCAAAGAATTGGGTGAAGGGTGCTTTATCTACTTTCGAAGCACAGCACATTTGTCTATCTAGACAACTTTGCTGTCGAAAAGGCCACCTTTTATTTGCGGTGCCGTTTACCAATCATCACATGCGTCTTTGTTCATGTTACTACGCTGTTTCACGCGCTTGGTGCGTTTCTGTGCATGTGCTATAAAACATCAGTGTTTCACCTGTGTGGAAACAATAACCAGTTAAGACCACAACGATCATAAATGATGTAACACTGACGATAGCCTCTTTTAGGTTCGGTCAATGCCAAACTGACGACCAAGTTAGGAAGTTCTGATAATTTTCCACTTTATCCATAACCTGAGCAGCTTATGGTATTTCTATGTTTAACACATTTGCTGTGTTTCCTCAATCCTGTATTCAAATGCAGAGAGCAACTGCATCTTAGCAATAATCTATGAATTCGTTTTCGCGTTCTGTCCAGTTGTCCTTCCTTGCAGAACCCGGCACTCACATATCATGCATGCCTCAAACAATCCGGAGTCATGGTTCATGATTTGTATATTGATCAAGACAGAACAGGCAGCATAAGCAATTTATACAGAGTCTATCACCAACCACAAGCAAAATTATGAAGATAACAGAAGGATGTCGAGGAAAGGTAGCAACGTCACAGGTGTTCTTTTGATGCTCGATTGACATCCTGCATTACTGAATGCAATTTCGTGACGATTACACTGTGGATCAATATATGAGCATTATACGGAGGGGCTACCCGGCGTTGGTGGTTGTGAGGTGTGTTTGCTGATTGCTTCAACCCGCCCCGTCGGTCTCTCATCCACGAGAGAGTGCGGCCGCGTGTGCTCTGTTTGTGGCGCGCCGACATCATCCTCAAAGCCGGCGTTGGTCTTGCCGTTCTGACCCGGCACGGCAGCCTCTGCCCCGGGCTCGGCACCCGTGTGCTGAGGAGGGGCGGGGGATGCCGCACTGGGCGGCGGGGGGAAGATGATCTTCTCCAACGCTATCATTGGCGACTCGAACGCCAGGGAGAAAATGGCAGCGACAGTGAAGATCACCGGCAGTGAGCCAAGAAACACGTAGACTAAGAGCGTTTGGTCCAAGTACATAGCTGACTTGTTTGTCAACCAGTAGTAAAATTGAATGTCGATGGATACGAGGTAGGATGTGTAGGTCAGCCGGCTCAGTGGAATGAAGGCTTTCCATGAGAGAAGGGTGTTGACGATTCCGCCGTACCCAGTGACGCAGGCAAACACCACCCAGGCCAGGCAGACGCTCCAGGCGGTGCGGTTCAGCATGCCATACACTATGCTGGTGGTTTTGGATGGGTCCGCATGTCCAGCATCAAATCTGTTGTAGTCGAACATGCCGTACACAATGAGGCAGCCGGTGAGGGAAGCCGTGATCCAGCCGATGGCGACTACAGGCGCTGGAAGGCGGATCTTGCGGCCGCGAATCTTATGTAGAATCCACCCCATGTACAGCCCCACCAAGTAAGGTCCAGCCCTTGTCCACGGTTTCATGTAGCGCAGGTTGAAGTCGTCCCCTCCAGGTAGAGGGCCATTTGGCCCTATCTTGTGAATTGCTGTAATCATGGCGTTGATACCGGTGAAGAAACAGACGAGGAAGATGAGCCACAGCTGACCTATAACAGGCCAGTGGTACAGTGGAAGCAAGACCAGCGGAGAGAAAATGAACATCTGCATGTCGTTGGCCAGGTACCAGGTCTGCCCCAAGCACTGGACGTTCGTATCTTTCAGATTGTTAATATACAACAGATTCCACCACCAGTAGTCTTGGCAGTTCTTCGCATTTCCCAGGCCTGCATATCCCCACATCGGTCCTGAACCCAGATAGACGTATAAAGTGGCTACGAATCCGATGATGATCATCATGACCGGCGTCAGACGGATGTAGCGGTGTACATAAAACATGATGATGTTGAATTTGCCGTGGGCTCTTTCAATGCTGCGCGAGGCAATGTATGCCACCAACAGCCCACTCAGGAAAAAGAAGGAATCAACTGACACCGTTGCGTTAGCGATTGCTGCGAAAGCAAGGTCGTTATAATAGGAATACACCTTGAGGATGTTCTGATTCTTAAAGTAAGGAACAAATGCATAATTGTGTCCGAGGATGACCCAGGTGTTGGAGAGAAAACGCATTCCATGCAAACAGCTTAACGTGTCCTTGGTGGAGGTGGTGTCTAAAAGCTTGCGTCCGTTGGTGTAGACGGAGAACGCGAGGAAAACGCGCCGAATCGTGGGAGGTAGAATCCACCGAGCTGCCGCATCGATGGCTGACCAGGCAGAGTCTGGTCTGTCCTCGGCTTGCACAGCAATGAGGTCCACTACCGTACCGATCACCATGCACAGTCCGGTCAGGGACAGAATGACGATCATGACGATAGCGGCGGTTGTGAATTCCGTCTTGTCCTCCCTGGTGTAACACACGTAATCGGGAATATATGCACTAACTTTCTGCTGCCGTAGCGCGATGTCAAGTCCCAGGGTGAGTTCCTCGGCAGTGCAGGTGGACGGTATGCACACACCCACAGTGGCTACCGTTCCGTCCGGCAGTGCGGGCAGGATCGGGGCCACATCCAGGTTGGCTACCGGAGCTGTTCGCCGCAGCAGGTGGCTGCGGCTGGCCGACTCGTCCGACTTGAAGAGAGACGCCATACAGTACTTCCCGATGAAGCTCTTGTCGTTGGAAGAACGCTGTGGTGTTGAGACATTCGTCCCAGTTGCCCATCGGGTTTACATTGCCCTCCAGAATGCCATCAGGCATCTTGCCTGTAGAGTCAAACATCTGCATGGCCCATCGTTCTTTGGTGATGTGGTTCAGGTACGCTATACTGTCCTCCAGGCAAGCCGCACTGGCATCGAGGTTGGCGATCGGCGTGATGTACGGACCGACTGCCTCCGCGATCGCCTGGTCCTGGAGGTCGGGACCCAGCCCCAGGTCAGGGTGGTGGTCGGCTCATGAATGTCGACATCCGTCTCCAGCTCCAGTCGAACCGGCAGATCTGAAAATGAAAGGTTTTTCGCTTGGGTACTAATGTCTTCACGATAACGAAGTGAGAGCAGAGCGATAGTTGTTTGATAAAAATCAAATAACAAGTCCTTTATGCACCATAAGAATATGATGGGGTGAGACCTCTGGGTGTTGTCTTTGGACTATTCTTACCATTGTAGGTTGTAAGATATTGTCAATATTGGCGCTTTATCGCTGGAACCCTTTCCCGTCACATATTTTCCTTCTGGGGCATGGAGTTGGCACAAGTTTGTCACACGAATGCATGCCGGTGATACTCCGCCAGAGGTGTGGTTGTGATTTGGCGCGCGATTTAGTCTGTTATCCAGTATGACCTGGCTTTCATTAAGGTCTTATAGCTGTAATGCTAATGATGACTTCCACTTACCTCCGCTGTGCTTGCCAGTCCGCTGCGGATTGGACTGGTCGTGCGCTGCAGGTGTTTGGTGGTCAAACTCCCGTCGGGCGTACAGCAGTCTCGACCACAGGTCCACTAGGGGCCAGCCATTTCCGTGCAGGTGCACGAGGTCCCCGTAGTCGGTGCCGCTGGTCCGAGCCACACAGAGTGCCGCCGCCAGCACCAGACGCAGGCCCACCATGCTGGCTCCTCAGACACAGCGCGGTGTTCGTCTGACGGGCGGGCAGAGCCCATCGGGCCAGCTTGCTCAGCTGTCGTGACCTTATGTCTTATCGTACTCTTATCGGGATGTGACTGTTTCCCTCCATTTGAAGTGACTGGGCTGTGATGTCAGGCTCATTTATCGAACTGCTATCAGGATGATGGTGATGATTCTTGAAAACGCGACCAAAAAAGCCGTCCGACCGGTGGGATAAGGAAATTCGCAGCCCTATAATGTTGTCACCATCAGCGGCAGTGTTGCTATCGGAATGTTATTCGTGCACGGAGTGCTTTTCAACATCGTTTTTCCATCACCGCACATAGTTTTGGAGGAAGAAAGCGGTCTAAATAATGTTTTTAATGACGCTAACCAATTTTGACGCATCAAAAAGTGTACTGTACTGGCGTTCTAGTTGAATGATCCACTCATCAGCGCTCTTTTACTTGAGCTATCCGATGTTGGCTTTCCGCTTCGCCCTAACATCTCAAGGTTTCGAGAGAGATGCGGGACTATAAGACCTTTTTGTCCAGTGAAGGAGAGAAACTCTTCCAACCGACGAGGATGAAGTACGATTGTAGTGAATTACTTATTGCTGGTTTGAGGTGAGGCCAAGGTATTTCCTTTTGCTTTGTTCCAGGTTTTTGTTGCGGATCGCTTGTGGAAGGATACCTTCTTTCAAAACGCCGAGTATAATGGGGACAACTGTGTATCGCCAATTTCGATTAACACGCACTTGGGTGGGAGGTCAAGTTGACCCCCCTCCCCCCCGAGACCCTTTCCGGAATGGTTCCCGAACGGCGCGGCGTAGCCGCGCCAAATTTTGCATAGCTGTAGGAAATTGAACAGCGGATCGTCTGGTATCACAAATTTAGATGTACCTTGTAAGATCACTGACCTATGGCAGATCAAAATCAGTCCATTGTTTAAGAGAAGGTTATTTCTTAGGAATTGCTCAATCTAACCCGACAATGGAGTGTTGAACGGTGCCGCACGTTTCTGAGATACTTAATTAGGCAACACAACAACTGAATAAATAAATTTCATTGAACTACGGTCAGGTATGAAGGTTAGACCCAGATCAAAACGAGCCTGTTTTGTTGCTCTAGGATTCGCTGTATAGGGTAGTTTCTGGTGTTCATTTCGGCTTCATTGACAACAGGAATCGCATTATGCACCTTGCATAGACTTCTGAAAAGTCAGAATAGGTCACTGACCCGGAATGACCCGGGCTAACATCTCTTTCACTAACGTTCTGCCTAACGTGATGTTTTTCGCTTATTCAAATGCAAAACTCAAAGCGGTCTTGTGTGATTCTGGTCACCGTAACCTTCAAAAGGTCAAAAAAGGTCACTGACAATAAATGAACGCGAGACCTTTTGCTTAAAGTAGATACCTAGATTCTAGGGGCGTTTTGGAGACCAACCTGGAATTTGATCGTATTTGACCTCACTTGACCTGAATGCCATAGTCTAGGTTCCTCAAAATTTGACCTGAGTGAGTTTACGTACAGATTAACACACCCTGTGAGTTTGGTGTCTCTAGCTCTGTTAGTTCCTGAGGTCTCAGGGGATCATATTGATCTCCAGTGCTATCAGGTCATCGAACCACATCGTCGCTTCATGGATTGTTGTTTTTATTTCATTCGTGTTATCTTCAAAAACAAAAGTGGTATGGGATCAAAAGAGAATCGGTCTGCAAACAAACCGCTTTTGACGTGTCAGTGATCCTTTCAGTATTAGCCGGTATGCTATACTGTTAAAATTTAGACCACTCCTCTTTGTCTAGATGAGTTTCTGGGAAGGGCACACATCTTAAGCAATGTTTTTTACGTGGGTTCAGATCCTGCTATTCGATCGCCTTGCCAGCGGCAGAATTTTGTGACAGAAGCTTGAGGCGCCGCTAAGTTTGGCGCACTGAAGTCACCAGACGTTTAGCACAACCGCCGCCACCGGCTGCAGACCATCCCAAGCGGGAGCAAATGGCAAACGCTAGAAATGTCTCAAACCTACTTAACCATGGGTGGGTGAATCAGAGGGTAGCCGCTCTGAATAACAGGCGATCGCGATAACCAAAAATTACACGTGATAGGCCTGTTCGCCTCTTTACCAGTCTCAAGTTATATGTTTTTTGGTGACTACGATCAAGTAGAACCTAATTTTTGCATATATATATATATATATATATATATATATATATATATATATCCGGAAAAGGTTGTTCTGTGTTCTGAAATAATGCATTTTTTAAGCGTCACCTTCGCGATCATTATGCTTTCCCTTTCCTGTAATAACACAGGTTGGTCTCAAGAAGTCAAAGTGGATGTGGTTGAATTCCTGAGATACCAAGCTGTTTGCTAACTTCACCCGCTCAGCTCTGGATGGATTCAGGGGAGCATTTTTGCCCGGGATGGCACCAACGACCCCGTGGGCAGCCATCCGAATCGACTCGGTGCGTGGCGATTGTGACGCCGCCGTGCCGGGTCTTACAACTAGTAGTTTGGCCCGCCACCAATAGGGGAAACTCGGTCGCGTCAATGCAGTCGCCTGGCATCATCGCCGGCTGAATTGCCAAGTTCTGTTTTTTTAGGGACGCTGCCAGACATAGTGCAAGGTTATCGACTACCAAGTAAACGGGTGACAGCATTTTCAATTATCTTCGGGTGCGTGCTCAAAAGTCCACCTTTAAAATGAGGTTTTCTTCTCTGCTGCATGGCTTGTAATTGTTCCTTAAAACAATGGGCAGCTCCATAGAGACGATGATGTCGATGATGATAATGTAACTTCCCAGCATTGCTCTTGTACTTGGTTAGGCGCAGTTTTGCCGTTGGTCGAGTTCTATGGGTGTGGCAGAAAGTATCTCTGAGTCCCTCTGCCTGTCTAGTGAGCGACGACAGTCTATTGGTGATGCACAGCTGGCGGTACCGAGCCGGGATTTTCGCTGTAAAAACAGGCTGCTAGACACCAGTACACATTACCAGCTTTCCTCACACTTTTTCTCACACACCTTTTTTATTACGGGCATCACGACCTATTGGCATGTATGTTACTTCTGTAGGCTTACACGGCCGTGGTCCAATCCGGTTAGGAGACTGGCATTCCCAGTGTTAAGCAGCGCGTGGCATACACCGAAAAAAGGCGCTAGAGCACACGTCTCTCAGCACCGCTAGCGCCGGCTGTTGGCGACGGCTCCAAGCTGTCGGCAGACTGCTCACTGTAGCGGGCGACAGGCGCGGCCTCACGCGGGGTTGGCGAGACTCACCGATAGATGGCAGCGCGGCTGCGGCACGCTGGCAGCCCTGTTCGACACACACACACACTTGATAATCGTAGCACACACGCACACACCTTTTAACAGCCGTTGCTCAAGTTCATTCTGCCGTCGTTAAAGATGGCGACGTTCAGCGCGATCGGATCAATACGCCGTGGTTGGCCGTTTTGTCGCGTTGTTGCGACAGCGCACGAGTAAGATCACGTGACCCGCGGAAATGACATGACGAGGCACGTCTCCGCGCGGACAGTTCCGCCTCTTTGCGATTATCACGTCTGCTAATGAGTTAGCTGGTCTATACGTTGGCGTAGAAAGGTTGCACTTGCACAGCTCGTGTGCTGTAACTAGCCGGTGGAGGCCTTCACCTGGGCAGTTGCCCGTTAACGTTGGCTTGAAAAGTCAGACTCCCGTGCTCCCGCAATCATCAGTGTGATGTTTGGGTACGCCATCACCATAGGCTGTATTTGCGCCTGTAAATCGGCGAAGCCCGGTGTGAGTTGCTGGGCCCTGTTGGTGAAATGGCTGACCATATCAGCAATGTCTTCCGCGTGTCGTGCGCACCGGAACTCACAGTATTCCCTAATCAGATGGAGCTGTAGTTCTTATGGTGGGTTTCGCTAGGATTTCGGCCCTATACAAATAACTTTCCAAATCCCAAAACAAACATTAATTTTCCAATAACTTTCCAATTATACATATCTCAATAACAATTCCAGTAATAACTTCCCAAATTTGTCTATGTGGTGATGACAAGTTGAGTTTAATGGCGCATTGGCGGCAAATGTTCATACAGCGCCCGTCCGCCGCAGACACCCGCACCGCGCAGCTGCCTATGTGCGTTAGACTTGCTTACACGGTTGGTGTGAGGCAAGTGACATGAGACTATGTCATGCGTGTGCGCCTCTGCAAGTTCACGTCGATTGTGCGTCGGTTTTGGTTCTGTGAGCTGAGTGTGTAGCGGTCCGGTCAGGCTGTGTGTGCTGTCAATGTGACGCGGCCTGCTCCCGCTGACCGCGCCTCAGCTGCCGCGGCGGTCAGATCGCCCGTGCCAGCAGACGTCTGTCCCCTGTCGGCCGGTCCCGGTCGGCCAGACGGACGCCTGTCCCCTGTCGGCCTGTTCCAGTCTGTCCGGCGGACACCTGTCCCCTGTCGGCCGGTCCCGGTCGGTCCGGCGGACACCTGTCCCCTGTCGGTCGGTCCTGGTCGGCCAGACGGACGCCTGTCCCCTGTCGGCCTGTCCCGGTCGGTCCGGCGGACACCTGTCCCCTGTCGGCCGGTCCTGGTCGGCCAGACGGACGCCTGTCCCCTGTCGGCCTGTCCCGGTCGGTCCGGCGGACGCCTGTCCCCTGTCGGCCTGTCCCGGTCGGCCAGATGGACGCCTGTCCCCTGTCGGCCTGTCCCGGTCGGTCCGGCGGACGCCTGTCCCCTGTCGGCCGGTACCGGTCGGTCCGGCGGACACCTGTCCTCTGTCGGCCGGTCCGGTCGGTCAGGCGGAAGCTTGTCCCCTGTCAGTCGGTCCCGGTCGGCTAGACGGAAGCTTGTCCCCTGTCGGCTAGTCCCGGTCGGTCCGGCGGACGCCTGCCCCCTGTCGGCCGGTACCGGTCGGTCCGGCGGACACCTGTCCCCTGTCGGCCGGTCCCGGTCGGTCCGGCGGACGCCTGTCCCCTGTCGGTCGGTCCCGGTCGGCCAGATGGACGCCTGTCCCCTGTCGGCCTGTCCCGGTCGGTCCGGCGGACGCCTGTCCCCTGTCGGCCGGTACCGGTCGGTCCGGCGGACGCCTGTCCCCTGTCGGCCGGTACCGGTCGGTCCGGCGGACACCTGTCCCCTGTCGGCCGGTACCGGTCGGTCCGGCGGACACCTGTCCCCTGTCGGCCGGTCCGGTCGGTCCGGCGGACGCCTGTCCCCTGTCGGCCGGTACCGGTCGGTCCGGCGGACACCTGTCCTCTGTCGGCCGGTTCCGGTCGGTCAGGCGGAAGCTTGTCCCCTGTCAGTCGGTCCCGGTCGGCTAGACGGAAGCTTGTCCCTTGTCGGCTAGTCCCGGTCGGTCCGGCGGACGCCTGCCCCCTGTCGGCCGGCCCCGGTCGGTCCGGCGGACGCCTGTCCCCTGTCGGTCGGTCCTGGTCGGCCAGATGACGCCTGTCCCCTGTCGGCCTGTCCCGGTCGGTCATGGGGACGCCTGTCCCCTGTCGGCCGGTCCCGGTCGGTCCGGCGGACGCCTGTCCCCTGTCGGTCGGTCCTGGTCGGCCAGATGGACGCCTGTCCCCTGTCGGCCTGTCCCGGTCGGTCAGAAGGAGACTTGTCCCCTGTCGGCTGGTCCCGGTCGGCCAGGCAGACGCCTGTCCCCTGTGGTCGGTCACCGTCGGTCATGCGGACGCCTGTCCCCGTCAGCGGGTCCCGGTCCGGCCAGATGGACGCCTGTCCCCTGTCGGCCAGTCCCGGTCGGTCCGGCGGACGCCTGTCCCCTGTCGGCCGGTCCCGGTCGGCCAGAAGGAAACTTGCCCCCTGCGGTCGGTCGCCGTCGGTCATGCGGACGCCTGTCCCCGTCAGCGGGTCGCGGTCGGTCAGGCGGACGCCTGTCCCCTGTCGGCCGGTCCCGGTCGGTCAGGCCAGGGCCGGTGCCGACGGCGCTCGGTCTGCGCGCCGGTCACACTCTCGGTCCGCTCTCCTCCCTGACTGTCTGGATCCGCCAGTGATCAATGGTAGACCGCTGGCTTTCTGGCGATACCACGCTCCAGGGCATGAAGAGATTCAGGTGTGATCTGCGCATAGTGTCTCGGATAACCGCGTGGACTCTCAATAACGGCAGCAACTACAGCATTCTACATTTACACCAGATGCGCTTATTTCACTCGGAACGCACTCACGTTGGGTGGGAAACGAGATTGACCTGTGCGTCCTGCTCCTGGTGCAAAGCCTGATTGTTACTGATAACTGATTTATGTAGTCTGCTCACACATCCTGACGGCACGATTCCGGCGACGCAGTAAAAAGCCTCGCACTGCTCACCTCACGACTCCCGCTGGATTAACTATACAAGTCTGACCGACTGCAGTGCGCGTTCCGTTCAAACCCCCAAAGGATTTCTGAGCCGCTTATGGCTGCCGACAAGTGCCAGGCGTGGTGGGTGGCATCCACACCACGTTATCCCTGTGCCGCCACCAGGGGTGATGATGCAACCGCGCCATGTGGAAATTCGTCAGCCTGAGAGGACCCAAAAGACTCCATCAGGGCGGTGTCTTTGCTTTTGGTCACGGGTTCGGTGACGCCGGTCTGCTTTATTGTGTATTTTTTGGTGCTACCTGTTTTATTAGTGTGCTCTCTATCGTCATAATTAATACCTTTTTTCTTTTCCATAGAATGTCACAAGCACTTCGTCACCTTTCTCAAAAGTTGCGTGACCTTGTCCCGATTCCGTGAGCGCTTGATGACAGTTCGCGCCGTTGAAATTCCACCCCCGACAACCCTTTCTCTCATCACTGTTCCTTGTAACCCGGAGTCCATTATTACCGCTAGACGCCGAGGAAGGGAACGACAGAATATAGGCTGAAAATGCAAATGGTTATGAACTATGAAAACACTTTGACTATGAGCACCTCGATAATGTTGAAATGGGACATAAGGACGGCTCCTCGCAGCCACACACCTTGCCGGCATTGGTCCTTCTCTGAAGGCAGGGTGACTGATAAAAAGCACAAGCTTCCACTGATCCCGGAGCGTTTGCCGACAGCTTGATGAGTGGACCCTTCACTTGTTCGCTCACATCAGCCACCGGCGGGCGCGACGCCAGGCATCCCCGCTCCGCCCGCCTCACCCAGAGAGACCCAGAGAGCCGTGACTCATGTGCGGACGCGAGCGGCGGCGTCTCGGTGAGGCGCCTGCTGCCCCGCTCCGTGGCCTCAGTCGGCCGCGATGATTCACAGCACACCTGAGCCATACGCTGGTAAATATTCATGTTTGGCCAGCGAGCGCCCCGTTTCCGCACGGCTGGCACTGCCGCGGCCTCCCGAGCCCCGGAGGAGAGTTTGTGCCGCGCTTGAGTTCACGGTGCTGCCGATCAGTTGGCAGACCGGTCCTCCCAAGAACTGACGCCCGCGACATGACGTCACTGGTGCGCTACGCAATCCATATGTATTTTTCCCGAAAACAATTTGCACGGACGCAGAGGAGATTTATTACGGGAGATTTCGGATCCAGCTGCTTTCCTTTCTGTGAAGCCTTTCCCTTTTATGGATATTTCGTTGATGATTAATGCGTCATGCTATATAAATAACGAATACCGAGGCCAACAACCGAGCATGGATGCTGTCCACTCAACAGATATTTGCAAACAAAACATATGCAATGATATTCATTGTTAAAACCTTTGACAGTTCCGGCAATCCACCGGAAACAAAGTGGTGCTTTTATTTGCAAACCATAGTTCCTTTGCAGCCGTTCGAATCATCTCTTCGTTTCGCAGCGCTGCTATGGAATCCACCGACGGCTGCCACCTCCGCTCTAATCACGGCGTCTGGCTTTCGTGATTTGCAATTTCAACGGTGCTGCGGACGTTGCTAATTACAGGGCAATTTAACAGCGGTCATTATTCATTAACTAGTAATTACCAGTTGTGGAAAGAGACCATACAAAGACGCATAGGTCAATTTGGAGGGCGGCTGGTTCAGAGTGAATGGAAGAAAAGAAATAAGAAGGATATATTTTCATATCAAAGACCAACAGACCTTCTACACTTTGGGAAGGAAAGGAGGCTGCACCACTATCCGGCACCTCTCGACCCGCTCGGCTTGTGCTGAGCTCACAAGTGCAGTGCATCCGTGCGCCGTCTGCTGAGGAGGCAGGAACTGGACAGATGTGCTTTAACGGTGGCCGAGGCGGCCCTGCCGCGCCATCCGACACCCGTCGGCAGTCGAGCCGACCGGCCGGACCGGCAGCCGCCAGCGGCCGCCTACAGTACCCAGCACCGAGCGGCAGCCAGGCCACCGGGGCACTGGCGACGGCCTGGCGCCGCGGCCGGGGTCGGGGTCGACGGGCACCGGGCAGGGCGCCGCGGAGGAGCTCGAGCGGTGCCCCGGCCGGGCGGGGCGCCGCTCGGGCGCGCGGCCCCGTCGTTCGGCCGGGCTCCTTATCGGGAGGCCCGACCGGTGACGTCAGGCGCCGCCGCCACTGCCGCCGCCGCCGCCGCCGCCAGTGCCAGCCGGTCAGCCGGCAGTGCGGGGTGAACTCGCGGACCGCGGCCGGGCGCGGCGGCGCTGGGCGGGCGGGCGGTGTGCGTCCGGGCGAGGGACTCCCGGGCCTCCCGGACTCCGCTCGACGGGCGTCCGGACTCGCGGCGCGGTGCAGTGAGTGGCGCGCAGCCAGCGTCAATGTGGCAGAAGACGTCGCCCGAGCCCATGGAAAACTCCAGTGGCTACGTCTCCAACACCAACTCGATGAACTCCCCTGTCAAGTACGCCACCGTCGGTCGCAGGCAGCCGGGGGGCGTGAAGCGCACATCCTCCTTGCTTGTCACGCAGCCGCAGCCGCCGCCCGCCTACAAGGCCAACCCCATCCCTAAGCCGAAGCGCTCCCTCCCGTTTAGGGAGGCGCGCCGGCCCCTCAAGAACGAGCTGCATCGGCCGGCGTCGCGCGCCTCCAAGAGCAGCGCTAACTCCGGCTCAGGACTGGGCCGGCCCACGTCGCGCGGTTCGCGTGACAATGTCAACGGCAAGACGCTGTCGCGCCGCGCCGGCTCGCGCGCGTCGCACTCCAAGATCCGGCGGCCCGACTCGCGCGCCTCGTCCAAGGCGCTCATCCTGCGGCGGCGCGAGTCGGTGCGGAGGGCGAAGCCGGCGGCGCGCGCCACGTCCATCCGCCAGCCGAGCCGCGGCGGCAGCCGACCAGCCTCGCGTGACTCGCAAGGCGCCGCCGGCACGACCGGCACCGCCAAACGAGCGCCGGCCAAGCCCTCGTTCTTCTCGTGGAAGCCCAAACTGACGCTGAAGCGCTCTAAGTCAATGCACGTGAAGAAGGACACGCCGAAGATGCGCGAGATGCGCTTCGGCGACGAGGGTCAGCCGGGGGTGATCATGATGCGCGGCGTGGAGCACAGGCGTGCTGACGGTGGGCCGTCACCGCGGCCATCGCAGTCGGCCGGGACCTCGGGCTTCCGTCGCGAGACGTACGTGTCGTCGATGTCGGCAGCGAACGGCGGCAGCGGCGGCGGCGGCGGCGGCGGCGGCGGCGGCGGGCCGCTGTCGCAAACGCTGCCGCGACCACCGCGCTACCCCGGCAGCCCGGACCGTTCGAAGCGCGCGGCCAGCGTCGACCTGCTGGAGCGGAGGGGGCGGGCGAGCGGCTCGCCGACCGCCAGCCCGCCGCGCTTCAGCAGTCCGCAGCGCATGCGACGTAAGGAGCCGCTGCGCCCGACACGGAGCGTGTCGCCGTTCAAACGGCCGCCCTCCGAGCTGTCGAGCTCGCCGGCGCCGCGCGCGCCTGTCTGGCGCGCCTCGTCCGACGGCTCGCTCTCCGAGACGGTCACCAACCTGTCGGCGCTCTCGGTTGGCGGGCAGGGCCGCGACAGGCAGGGTGGCGCGCGACCGCGGCAGCCCCCCAGGCAGACCGCCAGGGCCCCCCGCGGCAAGGCTAGTGACAAACCCTCTGTGATCGACTTTATCCGGCGGAAGCTGTCGATGAAGCCCAGGGAGAAACCGAATCCGGTGACGGTGAAGCGGCACGAGCGCGCCTCCTCCTCGTCGGCGTCGTCGCCCGAACGTTCGACGCGACAGAGCAGACTGAAGGCGGCCAAATCTCACGACGCGCTCGCAGCCGAGGAGCGCGCGCCGCCGGACGGGGAGACGGATGAGAAGCGGTACCGCTCGCTGCCGCGCGGCAAGCAAAGGAACAGTGGCACCACGCTCTCCCGCAAGCTCTCCAACATGGGTTGGGGGACGCTGGGCCGGTCCCAGGGCTGAGCGCGAGCGCAGCTTCAAGCACGAGCGTGGCGGCGAGGTGCGGCGGGACGAGCCGGCGCTGGCCGGACGCCGGGAGCGGCCAGACCAGGGTGGGCCGAGGGGACCCGGCGCTGGCCGGGCAGAACAGGCGTCTCCCCGTCCCTCACCAAAGCCGGAGATGAACTCGCTGCGCCGCCGGCCGCGCCCGCCGCAGGAAGAAGAGCCGATCCAGCCTATCATCCAGGAGCGGCGCACGCTCTCGCAGCCGTCGCTCTTTTTCCCGCGCGATGAGCCGCCGGCGCCAGAGGAGCCGTTCTCTCTGTACGCCAACATCCCGTACCAGCTGCCGGCGCGGCGGCCGGCGTCGCCGGACGCGCAGCGGGCGCCGGCCACCGCGCTCAAGGCAAAACGGGCCATGTCGCAGCCGAGCCTGCTGGAGCCGAGGCCGGACAGCCCGCCGCTCCGCTCGAGCGCCGAGCGCTCCGACACCGTGTACGCGTACAGCCCACACCGCGAGGCTCACCGCGATGACCAGCGGCCGTCGATGCAGCGTCCGCAAACGCGCACAGTGTGGAGGCCGACCATCACTGTCAAGCGCAAGGGCATCCTCAAGCGGCAGAAGTCGGCGGAGAAGCGAGCCGAGCCGGCTGGTCAGGAGGCGGCGGCGCCGCCGGCGCGGCCGCAGGGCGTCCTGCATGGCATCGCCCACAACATCAGGAGCGTGTTCAAGGTGAGCTCGGTCACCGGCCGGCGGGGACGAGTCGGATCGGGCCGGACCGGTCCCGCGCCAGGAGCGCCGCCGGGGCGCCGCAACGGTGCCCAAGGCCGGCCGCCGCACTCGCCGGCTGCAATGGCCGCTCTCCGCCGGGCGAGGTGGCCGGCGGCGGCGCGATCTCGGCGTGGAAGGTCGCGTGACCTTGCGCGGCAGGTGGTGCTTCGTCTCGGAGCCGGACGCAGGACGGCATTCAGCGGTGTTGTCCCTGTCTTGGGTATCACATCCCTGTCTCGGGTATCACCAGCTGGACGCCGATTCGGCTCGACTTCCACCGGATGTCGTTCGGATCCCGGCTACGAAGGAAACGGCTGGCCGGAAACGGAAAAGCGCGGTGTGTCGGCGTGCTCTGACGAATCATACAACGGGAACGTGGCACCGAGATTCAAGTTAATTAAGACGGAAGAGTGCCGTCTGATGGGGTACTGCGTACATGCCCCGACCACGGCGCGACGGGGGTGTAGCGCTGATTACCATCTCGGGGCGGGTCCTGACCCCGGCGTCATCACGCCACCTGTTATCTCCAGGAAGCGAAGTTTCCAGCGCGCGGCACGCCCTCTCTCGCTGCAGCGGCCGACGTGGCCGTGTGACGTCACTGGCGAGGCGCCGCCATGGAGCGGGGGCCTGCAGCCAGCAGCCGCACCGGCTGACTCGTGCACTGAGTCCGGCCGGGGCTGGACAGCTGACAGCTGGCGGGACACTGGCGAGATGTGCCCCCTCCCCCTGACGGGGACTGGTCCGGCCGGGGCTGGACAGCTGACAGCTGTCGGGACACCGCCGAGATGTGCTCCCTGCCCCTCACGGGGACTGGTCCGGCCGGGGCTGGACAGCTGACAGCTGGCGGAACACTGCCGAGATGTGCCCCCTCCCCCTCACGGGGACTGGTCCCGGACGGACCGGTCGTCGCCCGGCGCGTCGTCTGAGCCTCGTCCGCCGGAGATTGTCTCCGCCACGGTCCGGGGGCCGCCACCGGCCGGTCATTCAGCGCACGCCGCGGCCGGCAAACACTCGCCCACGCCGGACGCCCGATCGCATATGCAACGGGGAAAGAGCATTATAAAGAGCCGGCCGCGCTATCACCGGCCCGGATCGGCAGGCGCGGTTTTCGGCCGTTCGCGTCGTCTGCCAGTCACGCGATGCGCTGCGCGAAGCCGGCGCGGCCCTCGGATCCGGCTGCAACTGGGGCGCTGCTGGCGCGCTGACAGGCGACCACGGCCTGTCACCGCCACTGCACAGACGGCGCCGGTCGATCACGTGTGAACGTGGGGCCGCGCGTGCGGTGGGGGTGGGGGCGTCGGTTATCCACGCTATGCCAGCTGCGGGTGCAGCCGTGGGCGTACGGCCGTGGACGTGGGTGTGGGAGGTCATATTGTGGGGAGGAGGGGGGGGGGGGGGGGGTCAGTGCGAACTCGGATGTGAAAGCCGTGGCAGGATTGCCAGAGGGAGGAATCGGTCGGCAGCTGACTGAAAGACGTGGAAATAAGAAACACCGCTGTACCGTACTAGCCTGGTGTTCTCGGCTAAAAGAGCCATGCCTCCACTTAAACATCTAAGTAGTTCCTGCGAGAACCAAGAAAACTATCTCGACACGCAGATTTGGACGGTAGTTTTGACTTCATCCTGTTATGGGAGCGGTTGCCGCGCTGCGGTACGTTGGGTATCTGCATATTCGGGTAGGTGCACGGTAAGTCTCAATTTCACAGGTTCTCTGTACTTCGCCGCCATTGATGTTAAGTCCTTCAGGCACGCATTCGGGGGCGCTTCCAGGCGAGCTTGCTGCCTCACCCACTGCTTAGATGGGATCAGGCGATTAGGGCCCGTGCACGACCTGCAAACTTGTTTTCGTCTTTCGCGGAGATCTTTATGAAGGGAGGGACAGGAAATAAGCTCGCTGTAGGCACGCAGGTGGTGCCACGGCTGATGCAGGGTCGTGCAGAGTGCCTGGACCACGAGGGCTATATTAACGAGCCCTTCGCCGAAAGCCGGCCCGCCAAGCACTGCTCGTAAACGTACTGCTGAGTCTATTAGATGGCTAACTTGGAGTCGCTGAGTGGCTGTACCTGCTCGGCAGATTCGGTCCTCCTCTTGTTCCTCTGACATCTCTGCCTCTGCACCGCCTGGGTGTCGGCCCGAGATGGTGCCGCGCGCACTCTGACCCCGGGACGTGACTGTGGTTGGCCGGCCTCAACAGCGCACGCGCTCCACAGCTGGCGGGCAGCCCGGCCGAGGGCAGCAGCTACCGCACAGCTCCGATGCATGTCAGGCGGGCGCACGAGCGGGTGAGAAGTCGAGCTCTGGCGCGATTGCATGACATTGCGTGCGAGCGTATCCTGTCTGAAGGTGGAGGATAGTCTGAGGATCGTGCGTTCTCGCCGCTCTTGTCGAATGGTCCCGCGGACTTCGGCACCTGTCCTGCAGGCAGACACCAATGCGGCGCACTGGACTTTGGCTCGGGCGTGCGGATGCGACCGCTTTTCTGTCCCAGCCCGGATCCAGGGCGTGGTCTGTTTCTGCCGTGCACGTGGCTCGGCAAGTGCAAGTCATCGACTGCGCGCTGGTATAAACCTCACCGAGTGTGTGCAGAACCATCCATGACATATTGTTGTGGCAGCGTCCCACAGTTTTTCTTCTTTACCTCCGCCTTTCCGCCTATGGTCAGTTGGACCGGAGCCACAGGTGCGCTTTCTCCCGCCCCCCCCCCCCCCCCCCCCCCCACATGCCGGTGGTTTCTGTTCGGACTAGAACCGGTCTACCTTTGTGCGCCCCAGCCTGACATCACTCTGAGGTCAGGTCACCTACCGCTGCTGCTTGAGGCACGCTCGGTCTCACCCGGCCAGTCGGAGACGTACCGCGTCAGGTGCATGAGTCACCGTGCCAGGAATGGGGAGGATTGAATGACTCGCGCGAGTTCTTGGATCTTGGAAAGAGCGCACAGCCGGCTGCGCCGTGGAAGGTGTGAGAGCTAGTTTCACTGTATCTTAAAGCATGGGACATCACAGCGCATTTTAAACTATCATCAGGCGGTTTCTTCGAGTAACTTTTGAGATATTCGCCATTAAATGTAGAAAGCTTTGAAATGTTAAACTATTGCTATTCTGAGCGGCATCTCATGGCATGAAGACATTTTTTTGGAACTGCAGACTCGGGGTGTCAGGGACATATATACGAGTTTCATCACCACGCGTATTTCGTTAATTGTCATCGTATCCAAACGAGGGCAGATCCAAGAAAATGTGTGAGGACTCGGTATGTTCCCTCCCAAGATGTAGGAAAGTTCCTTTGGTTTCGTTTTTTTTGGCTCGTTTTCGTTGAACGCTTGCGCCGCATTTGAGGCTTATCCCCACAAACGGATGAGTGCAGCGTCTTCCCGAGATCATACACTGGATTCGTCGCTGCACCTGGACAAAGCTAATGATGGCACAAAGTAAACGACTGAAAGGATTTTTTCAGTATGTTTACTTTTTTACCTATGACGGTCACACTGGCCACAGCTCGCATGCTAAGCCCACTTTTGCATGCACGGTCTATAAAAAATTGATTTTAGCAGCATGCTTTGCAAAACGGCGGTGATGGTTCCCTGACGAGTAATTTTTGCTTCCCAATATGACGCTTCTGGATATTTTGTATTGTGCCATGACCTATAACTTGTTTTAGGACGCCGCACAACGTTATGCCTTCGGACATGGAGGTTCTTTACACCTCGCATCGCTGTTTTCCTCTGGCTATCGTTCTTTGGAGCGGTAATAAAACACACAGCCTTGCTGCGTCCTGAAGCACCCTACTGTTTGTTAACTAAGGTACAAAGGTTTATTATAAAGTACGAAAAGTTGGTACTTGTGGCAAGTATGTCACAGTGGTAGGAACAATTAAATAAAAGATAGCGTGACATGGCATTTGTGGCATTTATATCGTTGTTCTCACGTACATACTGTGACTTAAGCTTATTCTGCTAAGACCGTTGATTTCGTCCATGTAGGTTGGTTCATATACAATTATGCCGAGAGCGTACACAAATGTTAAACTGACATTTAAGTCCTGTCTTCGGCGTGAATACCACTTCGTACTTTCTATCTACACAGATGTTTCAACCTGGCGTTTGTGAGGTTAATTCGCGGACGCCATCGTCCTGCAGACCGTATATAAGCATATGAAATTAGTCCTTTCGTCAACGACTTCCAGGAATCCCGCTTTATCTACCACGCATACCGGCGTCCTGCATCCCACGTGACTTAGTCTGCATTCCCCGTTGTCCACAGCACCGCAAGAACGGTGACGACCGGGTACCGGAGGGCTATGTGGCCATTCCGGGGGGCGCCGTCGTCTCCGAGCGCTTCACCAACATCACCAACACGCACGAGGAGAAGGACGACGTGCTGGAGGAGGAGGAGGTGCACCACCTGGGCAACTACACAAACGAGGTCAGTCTCGTCCTTCCGGCAACCGTCCACGAGAGGTCGGTCTCGGTCACCCGTGCGCCGGTCCGCCGCCGATCCGGTCCGTGCTGCGGGTGCTGGCATTTGATACTCTCGAACAGTAAAGCAGAGATGATATGGAATTTTTCCTGGACGCGCGGCACCGAAATGGTAAAATGCATCGTGAGATATAACCATGGTGGCGTGCTGAAATATACACACAAAGAACTTCAGGGCACTGGATATTTTTACGGTCTGGCAAAGCCGCGTGTCACGCGCAGCCCTGGTGAGCTGCTATGTTAAGTGTTTCGCGGAACGTCAATTAGAACCAACTTGCGTGCAGAGGGTCATACATCGTTAAACTGCAAATGCTCGACGCGTCTGTTATCTGTAAGTGTTATCCGTCTGTTATCCCGTAAATGTGTCATAGCTGTCGTTTTAAAGACAGAGGGAAGGAAGTGAATACGCAGTCGTTTCGCGCCAAATCAGTGCAGAAACGAATGCATGGGAAAAGTTAAGGTAAGGTGTGCTGTTGTTAAGTTGCTACATGCATAAGGAGCCGATGCATGTACCAACTGCGTGATTGTGGGGCGGTAAGTCCTGTTTCTAGTATGATATCTTATATCCCTTACAGATGGCTGTAATTTGAAAGCATCATATAGTCTCTATCAGTGGCTAATTTGTCAAAATTGCACGATGAGGGTAACAGTGCGAATTTGTGGAGACTTGAAAATAGCATAGTATTGCAATACTATTGTGCGCATTTTGGATCGCTTCCTAACAATGAGCTTTTCTTTACTTTTTACTTTTCTAACGTGGAAAGATTCTTTGATTTTTCTACGGTTCTGCGTCTTTCAGGACAGCGTCATGTGTACTTACGAGGAGGAAACAAGCCGATTTTGCTCGATCTTTCCATTCTGAAATCCTTTCACATAAGTGCGCCAGCTGGACTAAGTTGCCGTTGGTTTCGAGATCATACGACGCAAATCAAAAGCGCTGAGACTCGCAGTTCCGCTTTATGAAATTGGACCCGGCATATGCTGAGCCAAAGAGCCATGCTTCATATTCCATTCAGATGCTCCTTGCCCTGTGTTTTTGCGACGAGGGTACGGCTATCCCGTGGAGACCTGAGCGGCACACACCGCAGTACCACCAGTTCTTAGAGCTGGCGGGCATGACGGAGACCTGAGTTGTGCACACTAGACTATCACCAAATTCGTGACGGGGAGCCGCGGGCCGACTGGCGCGGGCAGCAGCACGGCCAGGGGTCCGGGGTGCACCACGCCTAAGAGTTACGGTATGAGTCGCAGAAAACAAAATCGGCGTGACTTCAAAACAATGCGTTCAAAGTCTGTCGTCTTTTGGCATGCATGCGCTGGCCAGTCTTCACCGAATGGTCGTCTATTTATATCGGGCCCCCACGCTGAACTCTCCAGCCATGCGCGCTGGACGCGCCCTTGGCGACGCCCGGTCTCGACTGGGACGTGACGCCTGTCGGGCTGTGGCTGCGGTCGGGCCTCGACCCGAGACGTGACACTCATGCGCCTGTCTCGCTCTGGATTCAGCGGCGGTAGCTGGCGACAGCGCGGGCCGCCGTCCAAACGGTGCCGTTACATGTCGCCGCCCCTGCACGCTCACCGCGCGGCCGCAGCTCACCAGATTAGGCAGTGTCGGCGCACGAGCTCGCAAACAGGCCTGCTGTCTGGCCTCCGGCCACCGGCAGCTTCCATTCAGGGCGGGGTCTGCGGTGATCAAAACGAACGCGGATTTTTGTTTTCGCTTGAGCTGGCAGAGCATCGTGGGAAAATTAGCGTTAGAAGTGGGATTCAGTGACCCTGGGGTCGTTACGGGCCAGCAAGCTCACACTTTATTTCGATGACTGGATCATTTGCAGTACCAAAAAGGTCAGAATCAGCAACGCACATAATTTTACACGGGCATTGAGCGACTAAGTACTCTGGTTTGGGGAGTCGGGTGTAGTATCTGCCCGCTGATCAACCCATAAAATGCAACGCAGCAGCTGGCAGATTTATCTATGTGGGACTCACTGCGTGGGCAGGAATCAGCGCCGACCCAAAACAGCTGATGGGGCCGAGATAATGGCCTCCGCTGCTGGCGTGACGTCTCCGAAGTGCCGCTGCAGACACGGACTGGTTTATTTTCACCACGTGTCATTGACCACGCCTTATTTGGACGACTCGAGTGCCTTTCGGGGTCCACCCTTCTTCGAAAGTTAGCGGTACCAGCAAGGAGAGGCTAGCGTTCGGACAACAGGACCTGGCTCGGCAGGGAGCTCAGGGCGTCGGTGTGTCAAATGAGGCACTGTCGCCGCGGCTCGAGGTCATATCCAAGCGCCCAGTACGTCCCAGTCAGCTAATCCCTGCAGTGCGATTCCTCATTTGGATGGCTTAATTTCCAGTCCGTTGTGGCAATCTGTTCAGCCTAATAAGTGGCCGTGGCAAGTGGAGCCAATAAGCTGTGAAACGAAGTCTTAGTCTGAATGGTGCAGCGACAACGCCAGCGTTCGCAGCTGGCAGGAAAGGGTTGCCATTGCGCCAAGGCAAGGTCATCGTTGCAGCAGGACAGGACCACTTGAACTGCCGCAGCAAGGACAAGGTTACCATCGCGCCAGGGGGGACCACTATCACGACAGGATAAGGTCACCATCGCGACAGAACGTCAGCACCGCGGCGGCGCACGGTCACCGCAGCAGCATGCGAGAATCACCTCTGCAACAACGAGGACAGGGTCACCAGAGAAAACGTCTTTCCCACCAACCAGCATTGACAGAAGCGCTCAAGCAACAGCTGCACCCCAGCCGGAGCCCCTGAGGAGGCCGCAGACCTCTCGCCGTGTGTCGCCACTTCTCCGCCAGGAAATGCTTGCTCGTGTCGGTGGTTCGTCCGCGGCCGCGGCGCAGCGAGGGGCGCCGACCGGCCCGCGTCGCCCACGCGCCCGCGGGACTCAGTGACGTCATGGGCAGACCGCCGCCCACGCTGTCGGACGCCGGCCTGCGCCCGGTGACGTCACCGTAGCCAGCTGACGGCGCGGCGATTGTTTGCGGCCGGGCAGGTTGGCGCGGCCGCCGGCCTTGGACCGGGCTGGGAACTGGGCTTCTCGACCGCCATATGTCATGGGCGCCATGCAATGTGGGCCGTTGGAGCCTGTTTGTCGCTCCGGGCCGCCAGCTGTGGTGATCGCACAGAGCAAATGACGGTTTCGCTTGGTGATAACGGGCAGGTTCCGTCACGTTCGGTAATCAGAGGCTGTGTGGTGCACGCGCGGGTCAGGTTCGTCGGATGTGAGTCACCACGCGGCGCCACTGGGGCGCCGGACCGGCTTGGCTTAGCCGCCGCGACAACCGATTTGACTGGTGCTGCGATCCCACGCCAGCTGCTGTAAGAGCGCAACGTACCCGCCACCTCACCGGAATGTGGCACCGACGCGCCCCGGCAGGCAGGGCGCCGGCAGCCGAGGGCGCCTCCGAGGGCGCCTCGGCGGTCACGGGCAGCGACAAAGACGGGCAGCTGTGCTGTTCTCTTGCCCGCTTTGCTGCAGGCCGGCGCCTTTGCAGCCGCCTTCACCCGGCTTGACCATGGGTGGCACCGCAATAGAACCGGTTTGCGGCACTCGCAATCCGTGAATCGAATCATTCGAGCCCAGTTGAGCTTGCGGGCTCCACGCCAATCCGCCCGGGCTGGTGCGGACTGGCCGCATGAGGACGCCGTGGTGGACGGACACCTGGGGCGCCGCGGTGGACGGACACCTGGTGCACCGCGGTGGACGGACACCTGGGCGCCACGGTGGACGGACACCTGGGGCGCCGTGGTGGACGGACACCTGGTGCGCCGCGGTGGACGGGCACCTGGTGCGCCACGGTGGACGGACACCTGGGCACCACGGTGGACGGACACCTGGTGCGCCGCGGTGGACGGACACCTGGCGCCATGGTTTACGGACACCTGGTGCGCCACGGTGGACGGACACCTGGGCGCCACGGTGGACGGACACCTGGGCGCCACGGTGGACGGACACCTGATGCGCCGCGTTGGACGGACACTTGGTGTGCCGCAGTGGACGGACACCTGGTGCGCCGCGTTGGACGGACACTTGGTGTGCCGCAGTGGACGGACACCTGGTGCGCCGCGTTGGACGGACACTTGGTGTGCCGCAGTGGACGGACACCTGATGCGCCGCGTTGGACGGACACTTGGTGTGCCGCAGTGGACGGACGCCTGGTGCGCCACGTTGGACGGACACCTGGTGCGCCGCGTTGGACGGACACTTGGTGTGCCGCAGTGGGCGGACACCTGGTGCGCCGCGTTGGACGGACACCTGGTGCGCCGCGTTGGACGGACGCCTGGTCCACCGCGTTGGACGGACACCTGGTGCGCCGCGTTGGACGGACACTTGGTGTGCCGCAGTGGACGGACACCTGGTGCGCCACGTTGGACGGACACCTGGTGCGCCGCGTTGGACGGACGCCTGGTCAGCCGCGTTGGACGGACACCTGGTGCGCCGCGTTCGAGGATCACCTGCACTGCCATAGGTTTGCAGCGAAGGACAGCGGCCGTCTCGGAGTCTGGCGAACGGCTGGTGCTGAGATCGGAGCAGCTGCCAACTCGGCCGCCGCCGCTCAGATCCACCTGAGGCCAGATGTCGGCGGACAGTGGAGGACAGCGGACTGCTCAGACGCTGGTCCGCTTTTACCGGTGTTGGTGGTGTTCCTGCCTCGTCCTGGATAGAACTGGAACATATGCATAACTATAGACATCGGAATACGTACATATCGGAGGTGTAGTTTCCTATGCAGTTGGGGGGCCTCAGCCCCCCGCCCTTCCCCCTCAACTTGGACTCTAGCCCCCCCCCCCCCACACACTACGCTTTGGGAGGAAAGTGGGCCAAATCTGGGGGGAAACTTGTTCGTTGACGTATTTTTGGGTTTGCTGGGTCATTCTTCACTGTCCAGACCCCGACTCATGTTGTCCAACCATGTCCGTGATATATATATCTATATCTATATCTATATATATATATATATATATATATATATATATGTATGTACGTCATGAATATAACTTGAAAGTATTACCGCAACAACGACCTTTGCTATATTCCAAGCTGTGTGACGTTCTATATATGTATATATATATATATATATATATATATATATATATATATATATATATATGTATGTATGTATACATTCACAGGTGTGTATATAGTACCTGGGTATATTGGTGGATCACAGCCAAGAGCATTCTGATGGTGATGTACTCAACATAATGTCCATAATTCACGTGTACCTACCCCCTCGACCAATTCAATGTACAATGCGAAGGCTGGAGTGCTGCAAAACACGGTTTCAATGAATTTTCCGCGCTGTTGCGTCCTCCACAAAATGGTATGAAGCCTCGCTAATCTGCTTAGGCCAGCCTGTGCATGCCGCTGCCGAACCGCGTCCACTCCCACCCTCCTTTCTCCTGGTGGTAAGGCAAAAGGTCGAACCCGGGAGATCATGCACGCTGTCTTGGCTGGTGCCGCGGGCTCCCGCCGACACACAGCCAGCGACTGCCACCGTTGCGTAAAGCGACCGGTTCGATTCTGGTGCCCGCCGGTCGATCACGACTGCCACTGCTGCTTGCACAACTCCCCATAGACCGGCTCTGGGGTGGGTCGTGGACAGCGTTGCCAAACAGTCGTCGAACGGTAACAGCGCGATATCATCTGTGCCGGCCGACGGCCGTAGTGCTGTGTGTTCGAGTTCAGGCGGTGCAACTTCGGGCGAGCGAGCGGGAGAGCGGGTCGTGTGGTGAATGGGCTGAAGCCCCGTGACGACCACGGCCGTCCTCTTGTCAGGAGCTTGTTAACATGGCTGTGGTGTGTCGCAGTCATTCGGTGACTCGTAAAAGTACGCGGGCTCGAAGGCACTGGCATGAGTCAGCTGTGGGATGAGCTTTGCCCACACCGTCACCTGCGGCTTCCCGTATGAATATGTCCGGATGTATAGCATATAACGGAACATACATTCGGTGTTATGGCAGAACACGCTGCGCCAAGAATGCTGGCCTTATGACAAAAATATCGTTGCATCGGTAGGTAAACGTGTTTCCAAGACCAGAGATACATGTGTTAATGTCCTTTTAGCGTTTGCTCACAGAGCATTTCAAATTAATTGTGGGCTTTCGCTCTTAAAGGGAACGCGATCTGTTCTGTCGTTGATCGTGGTCGGTGGTTGAAACAAATACCTGAATGTTACCACCACTGGATCGTGACGTGGGCAGAGAACTTTAAGCCGTGGGCTCAGAATGACGTCATCTCGCGCACTGTCTTCAACTTACAGGTAAAGCCGATGCTTCAGGATGTTATTAGTCACACCGATTTTTAATTTCAGCATCTTAGGTGGCAACGATCGTAGGCACGAGGGAAATGGAATCTTCCCAAAAGTCTGTTGACCCATTTCATTATAAAATAAGTTCCTGTCGTGAATAATCATAGGCTTCGTAAAATATGTTCACGTAAAACGTGAGGATGTCTCCCCTTGCTTCCTCCCTTCCCTAGCCTTTGCTGGGCTCTCACGGCTCATGTTCTGCTATCACGACCGAGGGTGCAGCCTGCTGCGTTTCTCTCCTCCAAACCAGAAGTCCTCCCTATCGTAGTTTGTCTCGTGAAATGTCCGATGGCTGCAACTCTAGGTTTCCCAGCTGTTGCGTCATCCGTGCCCTCTTGGCCGAGGTGACTGGTGCCCGCAAAACTCCTGACCGGTCCATATCACGAGCTTCGCGTCCCTTGCTTTCCCCGCGTCCGGGTCCGTCTAACCTCTTGCCGCCTGTTGTCTGATCTCCACGCCTCTCCGCCGCAGGAGGTATCCAGGGCCGTCCGCGACGGTGACGACGCCCGCGCGCTGGTACGTCAGCGTGCCGGCTCGGGCCACTCGGGCCAGCTGGTGGACCCCCGCAGCGGGCAGCGGCGTGTCGTCCACCAGTCGGGCAAAACGTGGAGAACGGTGGACACCGAGGACATTCACGAGAAGACGCATCAGGACGAACACGGCGAGCTCATCACAGAAACGGCGCGCACCCATCAGCAGGAGCAGTTCAACAACGTGCAGGTGCGAATCAGCGAGAGCAGATCAGTAGGGCGCGAGAGGGTTTTATATAGAACGAGGAGGTTGACACCATGCACTGACATCACGTGCTGCATTTGGTCATGATACGCTGGTAGGACACCGGATTAACTGTTCATGAACCAGTCCAATTGCAGTGCGCACTATCCGCTCAATTACAGATAGCGCACTAAGATAGTGTCAGGTAACTTTAAAAAGCCCCCACCAGTAGCTTGGTTGGATTGGCTGCGTGATGAGCTCGTTAGAAGCGTGCTGTGGTCTTCTATCGAAAATTCAAGCCGCAGCATGGTGCCCAGTGTCGTTTCCTCCAGTTGTGTACACAAGTGCTCATGCATAAAGCATGAGGCCGCATATCACGAGTGGGGCCTCTCACCTCGCATTTACTCTTCTGACATTTATCCAGGGTCAAGAACCGGCGCCTGTTTTGATTGTCTTACGCGCCTGTTTTCGCGGATGACGGCATTAATCGCCCAGCGGAAGCCTTCCGCACATCCTTCGGTAAACACCTCGTACAGATGCTCGGCTGCTAGCGGGGCGCGAGGCCGGTAAATCCCACACCTGCACAGCGTGCCCACTGCTAGTTCCAGTGGCACCTGCACCCAGCGTGCAATTTCGAGACATACCCCTCGCGATCACACCTGCCACTGAGCCCAGGGTGAGGCTGCGGCGACCTGCGGTGGCTCGGTTAGCCACCAGCCGAGAGCGGCCCCGCCGGACGGTGCCGGCGCCGCCGGAGCGCTCCTGCGACGCTCGGGAGCGGCAGCAGACGGGCTTCGCTCGGACCGGGGAGAGCCGCTTCCCGATAACGCCATTGTCTGCATCGCGTCCGCACACCGGCGCGCGATTACACACGCACAAATCAACGGCGCGGACGGCGTCCGACTCACGACGGGCGCCAGCGCTGTCAAAACAAAACAGGCCCGAGAACCGGCCGTCCGACCGAAGCGCAGACAGACTGGGCGATAGAAGTTTCGGATGCGCATTGATGCCTTCTTAATGCACGAATCTGAGTGCTCTCCGTGATCAGAGTTTTAAACTGCTTCACCGTTTCTCGGGACCGTTTCTCGTTCCCTTTTCCATTAATATCAGAGCCGAACTTGGCGCAAGCTGAGCCTGGCAAATCCTTACAAAACAGCCATCAGTTACAAAACCAAACGTCATCAATCATCGTCATCTGTTGCGAGCAGACAGTGGGCACGCAAGCAGCAGCACAAGCCCAAGTCACGTCGGCGGGCGGCAATGGCGCAGTGCACAGCACTGGCCCTTGCGAAGCTGATCGTTGGTCCATCTGTTCTCCCGCGTCTCGTGTGCACCGTCGCCCGCCCGTCTAACCCCTCATCTCGTTTCGTCTCGCCTCGCCAGGTGCCGGACGACGGCTCCGGCCTCCGCGATGGTGAGGTGCAGGAGGCGGTGCGCTCCTCCAATCACAACCGACGTCACGTCAAGGATGTCGACATGCTGGAGTACTACTCCATCCCCAAGGGCGGCCGGCTGGCTGACGGCATCAAGCTGGGAGAAGGGCTCAGGTAGGACAGCCACAGTCCCGTGAGAATTCCGACGGGAAAGGAGCAATGGGCTGTGGCAGCTCTTCGCAGCACCCCTTTCTGTCGGATGGGAATTTAGCTATGTTGCCAAGCAGGATTGATTAAATCTGCAGCCTGCGGCTTGAGATCTTTTCTAGGTGCTCTGGCATCCTGACTCTCCAAAACCAGGGTCTAGCGGATTACTGGGCTAGTTGCATGTCCCGCCCCCTCCCCCTCCCCAGCGGCGGTCTAATTAGAAGAAGTGGGACACCATTTTGCCAGCTAGCTGGCGCCTGATGCTCACAGCATGATGTCATCGACAGTGCATGGGATGGTTTCAGCATGTAGTGGAATGTGCACCGGCCGGTGGTAGGCGAATGCCCTAGTCACGCGGGTGCGCTCCACGAAGCGTGCCCTGAAAGTGTAGAGTTCGTCAGCACTGACCGACTCTCTCGTCCCCAGATACGTCCAGGAGAACGTCGAAGAGGACCGCGAGGGGGACGACAACATTGAGAGCCTCTCAGAGCGCATGCGGCAGCTGAGGCAGCTCGGCTACAAGCCGGAAGGACAGGCGCTGGCAAAGACACCAATCGAGTACCAGGAGGAGGAGAAGACGCGCCGCAAGGAGACGCACAAGTGGCTCGAGTCGCATTTCGGCAGCGAGTCGGGCGGCTCGCAGAGCTCCGAGGAGGGCGAGCCGCGCGGCGGCGGGCGGGATGAGGTGGACCGCCGTCGTGAGTTCAGCAGGTACGAGTTCCAAAAGAGCTCCGGCACATCGAGGAAGGGCGACATGCCGTCCGGCGCGACCAGCTGGGAGCGCAGCAAGGAGGTGAAGGAAACGCCCGAGAAGACGTACATCAAGGAGACCAGGCACGGCCCGCACGGCGACTTCGAACGTGTGCAGGTGCTGCCCCCCGGCTCGCCGATGGGTCGCCGCATGAGTAAGACGTCCACCGAGACGCGCACGGAGGTGGAGGAGGACCCCATCTTCAGCAGCAAGTTCAGCTCGGGCAAGCCACGCGGCGCTGGCGTGCGCTTCCAGCCGTCGAGCCCGGAGCGCCGGCGCGCCGAGACACTGGGCCTGTCACCGCCTACGCAGTCGCCGCCGCCGCCGCCGCCGCCGCGGCACCGCCGCAAGGGCCGCGACACGTTGTCTCCGCAGCGCGCGCCGCCGCCCGACAACCACTACGCCAGCGCGCCGATCCGTGAGCAGTACGAGCGTGACGTGACGCCCGGCCGCGCCGCCGAGTACCGGCACGAGGTGCGCGAGTCGCGCGGGTCGCACTCCTCGCCGCGTCGTCACCGGCGCGACCACGACGACGGCCGCCGCGGCGAAGAGCGGCGTGGTGAGCCGCAGCGCATGGTCAAGGAGTACCACTTCCGCAGCAGCGAGAGCCCGCGCGGCTCGGGCCACACGCCGTCGCGGGACGGCACGCCCGGCCGCTACGAGCACCGCGAGCAGCGGCACGGGTCGCGCCACGACTCGTACAGCACGGACGAGCGCGACGGTCACGACAGCGCGCGCCGCCGCCACTACGACGACTACTACGCGCGGCGCGACCGCACGGCCAGCACGGACGAGCTGAGCAGCAGGCGGCGGCCGGCGGCCACCGGCAGCGACTCGGAGCGTCGCGTGCGCTACCAGACGGACGCGTCGCGCCACCACCGCAGCACCGACCAGCTGGACCGTTACGCGTCCGAGGAGCGTCGGTACCCGCCGACGCGCGCGCCCTTCGACGGCGGCCGCGCGCAGACGCTGCCACGCAAGCCGCGCGACTTTCCGCCGTCGCCGGTGGCGCGGCCGCCGGACGCCACGCGCTTCGGCGGCAGCATGATCAACGTGTCGCTGAAGAACCAGATGCGCGGGGGACCGGGCGCGCCGCAGAAGCCGGCCCGCTCGCCGGTGCAGCGCAGCAATAGCCTGTACTCGAAGGAGGCGCCGGAGGGACGGCGCTCCAACCAGGCGTATAGCGTCGGCCTGAAGAGCCCGGACATCATCTCGAAAATCCAGCGCACGGCGAGCATGCGTCGCGGCGAGCAGGCCGAGCCGGGCCGCGGCCGGCCTGAGGACGAGCGGTACCGAGCCAGCGCCGAGCACGAGGTGCTCTCGTCGCTCACCTCGTCCTCGTCGCGCTCGTACCCGCGCTCGCCGACTGCCAGGAGCCGGCCGCTCCCAGCGTCCACGCCGCATCAAGGCGACGGCAAGAAGGACACGTTCATGCGCGGCCTGATGAAGAACGCGCCCGAGCTTTACAGCGTGCTGCACGACAACGAGCGCAAGGACAGCAAGACGCCGTCGCCGCGGCCCGGTCGGTCGCTGACGCCGCCGCCGCCGCTGGAGCGCGTGCGCTCGCCGCCCTCTCCCGTGCCGCTGCGGCCGGCCGGACACTCCACGCTGGCGCCGGGGTACCGACGGACAGAGCGGCTACGCGGCGAGGAGGATGCGCTGCGGGATAGCCGCTCGTCTCACTCCTATACGCCGGAGGACGCCTACAGGTCCGGCGAGCGGACCAACGTCGTCAAGGTGAATCTGCAGCCGAGCATGTCCCGTCGCGGGTCACGCGACTCCCCGCCTGGCGCGCTGAACGGCTCCGCTAACACGCCCTCCCATTACAGGTGCAACGATGAGATTTACACGAGTCCGACGCGGCGCGAGGCGCAGCGCTGGCCGTGGCCGGAGCGGGAGGCGGCCGGCGCCGGCGGCTCGGAGCCGGGCCGGAGCCGGCGCGGCTCCGCCGGCAGCTCCAGTTCGGCTCGGCTCGGCGGGAGCTCGACGGAGCCGGGCTCCCCGCTCCGCCGGCGGCACCGCCGGCCCGAGCCGTACCCGGACTACGAGGCGACTCACAAGGGCGGCGCAGTAGTGATCGAGATCCGCGACTGGGAGCGCGGCTGGTCCCCGGCCGCCGCACCAACATGAGTGACATCTAGTGAGCCGGTCCCGAAGTTCTGGATCGGCAGACTGCCGCCGTTTTCAGCGGCAGCGTCCCGGACAGCGACAGCGCCGCCACGGGGACTCTGGCAGAACGATCCGCCGTGCATAACAGGAACGAACGGGAGCCTAGCATAATAACTGTCGCGTGCCAATATAGTGCTTTCTTGTACTGACCGTCCAACTGTGACAGACATGTGATTCTGCTATGTGTGTGTAAATAGGTGTAGCGTCAATGTAAACCCTAGGAGTATTTAACTCGGCCACTGCTGCTGGGTCCCTGTCGGGCTGGACACCACCGCTTACCAGCGGCATGGTCTGTAACCGCTTCGATCGCATTAACGACCGTACCGCTGCCGCCGCCGGCGCCTAATCACAGAGCCTGCCATGTCATCTAACCACGTGTAAATAAATGGGTGAAATGTCGGGCCGGCGTGTTGCATCCTGCTTTTCCTCGGCCGACTAACACGGTACAACAAACGAAGCCCGAGGCAGCCGCTACGCCCCATCCGCCGCCGTTCCGCCCTCGCAGACTTTGCCGGCTTTCTGTCACCTTCCGCCCGGTGTGTTCATGCTTCGCCTCAGCCGACAAAAGCTGCACAAAAGCTGACGTTTGAACGTGACTCACATCGATCTGGTCCCGCTATGCCGCGTTTCTAACGGAAATTGCAGGACTGCAGCTGCACCCAACGGAAGTAAGTAGAGCCATCCCGATGCTCGGACTGAATATTCCACGCGTTTAGCTCAAGATATTTTGCGAGCACGCCTTTCCCACCTGAGCTGACTCTCGCTGTCTACTCGCCTCTCTGTACGACTGCGAACACATCGGTACGCCTGCGATGCGCCTCGCGTCCCTGCGCGGCCAGTTTGGTGCCACACGGCTGGCTGCCGCGGCAGCCCCCAGCGGGCTGGTCCGCGGTGTCGCGCGCCGCCGGGCCGGCCGGCCAGTCTCGCTGGACGGGACTCTGAGCAGGCCGCCGTGCCACGCTCAGGCCGGCTGCAGCGCCGTTCAGCCTGAGAGCCCCACAGCGACTATGCGGAAAGATGCGGCGTGTGTTCGCGAGCGGACCCCACGACCGGACCAAGCCCCAGAGCGGCGGACCGCGGCGGACCGCGGCGGACCGCGGTGAACCGTGAGACAGGCCCCACATGGCGGACAGTGGTACGCGATCCGAAATGTCCTGAAATCGTTGTGTCAATACACAATAGTACCGTGAGTGAGTGCTGAAAAGAAATTACTCCAATAATAGACCATCACGACTAGCTCTCGTCGGATTTTAACGATGGTGCAGCCACCACAGCTCGGAGAATAAAAAACCGGAAATTGTTTTTTTTTTGGAAATGCGTTATGCGCATGCGTTAACCTCCGAAACAATGCGTGTTGCGTGACATTTTCCGACCAATAACAAATATCAGATGATCACGTGTTAAGCTGAGGTAGTTTGCAAAACCACAATTCACATTGATTGAGAATTTTGGTTACATGTGACTACAATTCACGGGGATGTGGGCGCAAAATACCTACGATTCTAGAAATAAATATTAGTGGTACGGCACACGCCACCTGGCGCGCATTGCATATTAGTGGTACGGCACACGCCACCTGGCGCACCATGAATGCGAGTTATGTGGTTGACTGTTTGCGTCGTGTCTCAGTCCTAAAAATAAAAGGCTTACTAATGACAACGGACATACTTAGCTATCACTGAAAAGTTGGCCGAAAGCTGGCCGAAAATTGTTCAAAGGTATCTATAGCGCATGCGTGAATCTCCGAAACAATGCGTGTTGCGTGACATTTTCCGACCAATAACAAATATCAGATGGTCACGTGTTAAGCTCAGGTAGTTTGCAAAACCACAATTCGCATTGATTGAGAATTTTGGTTACATGTGACTACAATTCACGGGGATGTGGGCGCAAAATAGCCACGATTCTAGAAATAAATATTAGTGGTGCGGCACACGCCACCTGGCGCGCATTACTGCTTGTTCTAACACTTTAATTGCCAATTGTGAGACAAGCTTACATTATATTGTTCAATATATGATTTTGAATGCGTATTTTTTATATGCAATGCTCATTTCTTTCAGTCCTCAGAATAAGTAATCGTGAATGGCGTTTTACCTAAGTCTGATGTTGATTATGTCTAGCAACTACTCGTCATATAAGTGGAACTATGGTATGACACCAGACCGGAAAAGTGACTTCGTGTAGATAAAGACCTCCCCCCCCCCCTCCCCCATGTGGTAGGCCGCAGGCACAGTATGTTGGGTACCGGCGCTCTGTGGTATCATGAGGTACATTGGGTATCGAGCACAAAGTACAAACCGCAAGCCCGAGCACGACTAGCCTGATAAAACAGGCCATTGTCTTATGAAACGAGCAAACGCAAACACTGATAACAGCCTGGATTACGGTTATCTCAACGCCGTTCGTCATCACTGTGACCGATTTGACACTTGGATGTAAGGAGTCTCGCATCCGCGTGCGCACACACAAGCGAATCGTAGCTGAGCAGTGCTGCCGATGACCCCAGTATGACCCGGTCATCGTTTATCAGGTCAAGTTGGTCAGGCACAAGCCTCTGTGGTCAAAGTTCGAAGCCGTGAGTAGCCCAAAGTTGACGATGAGAGCCCTTCTAAACTCTGGCGTAGCTCACATGTTTTTAAAGATTGAATGCACTAACTTATTACAGCAGGTGGCCGGTTCATGACACTGTTATGTTTTGGAACTGGACATGGGCCCTTTAAGTCCAAAAATTGTACGCATAAATCCATGAAATTGACTGAAGTGACTGGAAGATTTTCCTAACAACTCGGCCAGGATCAGGTTGCATTAAACAACTAACTAGCATAACGGAAGTCAAGCAAGTTGGAAATGTATGGCATTCAGACAAAAATACATACTCGTGTGTTTTACCTTCTTTGACTGAATCACTGCGGTGCGTTGAAATACGTTATCAACACGCATGAATGTGAAAAAGAATGAGAAATAGAATCGTTAGTTGTACCGTGTGAAATGCAATCACATGTCTCAAAGCAGCTTCGATGCTGAAAACCTCTACTACTAAACGAGTTGGGTAACCATTTTACGCATTGGCAAGCTAACCATGTGAAGTACACCAAAAATTATTGTTGGAACATTTTGCGAACCGGGTTATTTCATAGCAGAATAAAACCGATTATGATCGTCGCGCACCACATGAACCAATTCCGAATCCGATTTACCCGAGCAATGCAGCCGAATCCGTATCCGAATAGAGCCGAAACGGAATCGATTTTTAAACCAGATTTGGGTTGGCCGAAGTCAGGCATCAGTTTATTCAGGGAAGCTGTCTCTTGCAGCATGTTTGTAACACAGATGGGAGAATCCGCAAGGACTCTAAGCGCCTTGCCTCTGCTATTCGATGCAAAATTGGGCTTCGGTACGAATTCAGTCGGGGAATAGTTGTTTTATGCATCATTCGTGGCATCAGTTCGGGAGTTGTAAGTGACCGATTGCTGGACAGAAAAAAAAACTCGAAAGTTTGTGTTTAAATTGAATCTGATTCTGAAAGTCCCGCCCGCAAAGAGTTCTAGCTACTAGTCTGTCGTGAGCCCCTAGAATCATGTGTAGAAAAGCTAACAACAGCCTCAACCTCCTGGCCCAGCCTTGATCGAAATAATGCGTCAATCCCCAACGAGCCAAGCCGCCGCCGACCGTGGTTTGAGCTGGTCAGGTTGCCTGAGTACATAAATCCCCAACGGGCCGAGCCATCGCCGATCTCGGTGTGAGCTGGTCGGGTCGCCTGAGTACATAAATCCCCAACGGGCCAAGCCATCGCCGATCTCGGTGCGAGCTGGTCGGGTCGCCTGAGTACATAAATCCCCAACGAGCCAAGCCATCGCCGATCTCGGTGCGAGGTGGTCATGTCTCCCGAATACATCAATCCCCAACAAGCCGAGCCACCACCAACCACGGTGCGAGGTGGTCGTGTCGCCCGAATGCGGACCCTATCGGTGGGAAGATACGGCCCGGGTGCCGCGATTTAGCACCTGCGCCAGCCACCGGCCGGCCCGATTATCGGCCCGATTGTTGGCACCAAAGCCGCCCAGCTGTATCGGCAGGAGCATAGTGCGGCCGACCTGCCGGCGTCGGCACCATCCGCGGTTCGGGCGTGTCGTGAGACGGTGCGGTGACCGGCGCTGGGTGGGCGACACCAAGCGCGTGGAACGGTGAGTTCGGTGACCCCGGGATATCCGACGCGGCGGAGAAGATAGGGGAAAGACGCTGGCTGGTGGGAGAGTGTGGCGGCATCGCCACACGCCGGTGTTCGAGCCGACCGCCTCGTTAAGATCATCGACCGGCGGAGGAGACGGCACCAGGTCCGAGCCGGGACTGGACGTGCATTCTCTCCCACTGAGCGTGCTGCCCACGTCCGGGGGCAGAGCCTGCGACGACGTCGAGGCACCGAGCTTATCGTTGTGAGCACGGCACGGCACTGTAGTCGAGCTGCCTTTGGAGGCTATCGGTGGAGCAGAGCTCGTCAACACGAGGCAGTAGTGCACGGCTATCCGAGGGAAGACCGTGCGGCACCAACTTCTCCTGCTGATTCCCTCTGGCATTCATCAACCGAGTGATCCTGCGGTAGAGGTAGTCGCGATCAACAGCGAGGGGATCCAGATCTAGCGGCAACACCGCGATCCAGCCACCGGAAGTGTAAACTCATCGCCGGGGCGACGCCAGCCAGAAACGGCCGCGGACCGTCAGGCGTCGGCGTGATCCGGACCGACGCGACCGTCACGCACACTCGGTGGCAGAGCCGTCGCGAGCGGCCGCGGGGAGAGGGGTGTTGCGATGGAGGACACCCTCCTCGGCTGGCTGGTGGCCGTCGGCTGCGTCCTGGCCGCTGTGGCCCTCTGGAGGGCAGCCCCCGGCGCCAAACCCCAGGTAGGTGCTCTGTGACTGCGTTCTCCAGACTCCGGCAGAACAGTTTTTTGACAACCGCACCCGGAAAGTAACAAAAGCCCGTGTAAATATTCATTATTTGACGGGTTTAGACATGGGCAGGTTGTGTAATAGGGCATCGCGTATCCGGTCGTTGTGTGTTTGTCCGATGAACTGGTGGCGAAAATGACCTCATATAGCATATTTAACCTCTGCATTGCAGGCCGTATCAACGAAACTAATTTCAATATAAAGAAGAATCATTCCAATAGCTTTTGTCTCTCGCCATGGGCGTAACTACGCCTCTTTCGTCCGTCATTGTGGCTTTATGACGCACTCAGCCTTTCCTAAAGTCTTGAGCTTCACTTCTAGACTGCATGTGATTTTGACAACGATATCTGATGTAATCGCATGATATCGGGATCTACATATCACTGATGTTGACACCCATGACAGTGTCAGCCATGCATGAGATTACACGAGGAATGGTTGGGTGCATG